TCTTAAGAGCCGGCGGCGGTGGCGGGCGCAGCTGATGATGGCCACCTGGTGGCGCTAAGCCGGCAGACTTGTCGCCGTTACCGTTACCAACCACATCTGAACCAGTGGACAAAGTCTGGGAAACTGCCGCACCGTCGGCGGCATCAGCATGGTCGTCCACGTTGTCGCGGCTGCAATTGAATTTTTTGCTGCTTCCGTTGGCAAGGCTAGAATTTAGATTCGAGTTTCCGTTAAATGTTGCAAAACTGGTCGGAACAGCAACAGGATGTGGATGTGGATGTGCATGTGGATGTGAATGTGGATGTGGATGGGAGTGCTGGTGTTGGTGGGAAGCGTTCAGAGGCGCCAACTGCTGTGCCTGCTGCTGCTGTTGATAGAAATGATTGCCGAAGTGCTGTTGCTGCTGGTGCGACGGCTTTTGCTGCTGGAGCATTAGGTAATCGGTGGGAGTCTTGGCGGTAGCCACGCCCCTGGCTGCCACACCTGCTCCTCCACCGGCTGTCGTCGTTGTCGTGGCCGTGATTATTGGCATTTTAAGCCGGGTATCTTTAGCTTCTATCAAGCTCTCTCACACAGACGAATTGTTTTCAAGCACTAGCGTTGTTTCTTTCCATTGCATTTGAGAATCGTTATTTAATACTTTTTATATTGTTTCGCATTCGCTTTGTTTTGCTTGTTTGCGGGAATGTTTAGATAAACTTTGAACGCTTCTTCATATTGCCGTTTTATTAATTCATTTGTCATTGAGCTTCCATTCTGGTTTCGGGAAGCTGCAAAACAGAACAGTCACAAGAGAAAACATTAATTAGCAATATGCAAAGTAATATGTATAAACAAATACCATATATATAAACAATAGAATAGTTATAACCACAATAATAAAACAATAAAGAACGCTTAAGATGGGTTTGTATTCACTGTTCATACATTTTTTAGGTTTATCAGACATTATCGGTGCTTATTTATTTTTTTAAATTTATCTAATTCATTTTAATATCTATAAATATTAATATCTATAAATATAAATTCGTGAGCGGAAGCTTAATTATAAAAAAGTTTCTAAAGACATTAATCATACGGCGTTTTCATTAAGCTATATGTAACAGAAGAAGGTATATGTAATTCAATATTAATAGTTCTCTCATTTTTAAATTTAAAAAAAGGGTTTATTTTGGAAGCGCAACATTGATTTAGTCAGCTTTTACTTTTTACCCAATGTATATGGAACAAATTTTATTTTAGATATTTTAGATATATTTAATGCAAAATTTTTTTTAATTTAAAGCTGTTAATTTATATCATTTAATTTTACTCAATCTCAAAAATTGTAAATCCTTATGTTTTCTTCCAATTAAAACTGAAGCCCTTGGGAACTAAATTCCTCTGGTAGTTCTGGGACACTCCTCTGTTTCGACCTTCGTTTATCTTGGCACTTTCAACTGCATGCTGTGAAATCATCGTCACATACTACTTCGAATATCTAACATTGTTTGGGCCTCCGCCTCGATCTCCTCCTGCTGCACCGCTCCTCTAAGCCAAGCCACAAAGCCAACTATCCAGTTGGACAGCTCCGGGCCAGACACGACCATTGTTCGGTGGCTTACTCCAGACTGCAGCTCCAAGTGGTGCCAATCAACAGACTGTTCAGTTTGACTAGTCAGTGTCCAATCCCCTTCGCACCCCTCTCATTGTTGACAAAGCAATTTAACAGAGCTTTGCTTCGACTTTCCCATGACAGACATACAATTATAATTATTTTTCTGTTTGCTCCATGGTAAAGTTTTTCTTAAATTTTCACCAGTTAATGCCATTGAAATAATTAAACTTTTTTGCAGCCTTCAAGTGCGTTTTAAAAAAATTGCTTCGTATATTTTGATTTATATAAGAAAACTTTCTTTGTTTAATTTGGTGTAGTTAAACTTTTAAGTGAACTGCTTTTGCTAATTTCATTTTCAAACAAGATTGAACTAATTTCTCGACTCTCGCTTCTTGAAAATTTGTATTTATAAATATTTAAGCCAAATTGTGGTTTCCCCAAGTAAAATATGAATACGTTGACTCACGACACACAATTATGAGTAAGGGGAAAAGAATAAGAAAATTAACTGTGCGAAAAAAGGGGCATCAAACACGGCAGCAACATAAAATTCCTCAAGCGAAAAATTTACTTCAATGAGAAAAAAACACAAGACGATCGAGCAGTCGATGAAGAGGCAGGAGGAGTACGTTGAGGCAGAAAAGAGCTGCGGGCACCGCCAACCAAGAATTCCAGAAACGACAAACAAAACAACAACAGCGAGAAACAAGTTTTTCAGAGCATGCCAGCAGATCGCCAGAAAACCGAAAACTGAAAACCGAAAGGCAACCCCCACAAATACACAATGAAAAAAGACTAGATGGTTCTATCATATAATGTAAAATTTACTCGTAATTAATGATTTTATTTATTAATTTATTGTTATTGTATTAATTATTAATAATTATACACAAAACAGCTTAACGTTTTAAAGGCTTTTTTTTTTTAATTGGTCATTGTTTATCCATTAAATCTACGACTAAGTCATTTGCAAATACACAGATTAAAAGTATTAAAATTATTATGCATGATAAATTGAGATATTTCCAGTGGACTTCATTAGCGAAGCTATTAGACAAGTCATTTTCTTACACACTTCTCTTTTTTATGCTTGTTGAGGAGAATGGCTCATCTGTTATAAGCCAAAATTTGTTTTTATCATAATATTGTAAGTGGTATTAATAAAGACTTGCAAAAAATCAAAATAAAAGGTTATCTTTACAAAACAAAAAGAAAAATAAACAGAACTGAAACAAAATATTTTTAAAAGGGTTCGACATTAACACTGTCTGAAAATATTTGCACCTCAAAAGGGAAATATATAGATACTAGCTCAAATATTTTATTATTAAAGGAACGTTTTATCAGCTAAAGCTATTCAAGTCTGCATATTTTATATCATGCCTATTTTGATTTAAGTTTTAGATTAGGTTCCCAAAAATATCCAAGTTTTTACTTAAAATATACTTAACTTGTACATTTCGTTTGAACTGTTTAAACAAAATCATTTTTGTTATTATTACTTTTTTATTTTTTCTTTCTCTGTAAGCACACGTAACAGGAACGAGCTGCTGGTACTGACGGTGGTGCTTCCACTTGCCACAAAGAGACCTAAAACAGAGACCTTTTCCAGACCGCAAATGTGCCCAGCCACCTGTCGTTTGGCGGACAGCGAAAACTGCATGGAGCATTAGAGAAAACCCGTGGAAGGACCGGGATGGAAAGGAAAGGGGCTGGGAGCTACTTTCGTCAACTAGGCGGCGCACGACCTGAAAATACCTATACCACCACTAAGAAGGGGGAACGGCAACTGCAAGCCAAGTGAAAATCCGAAAGCAAAGCCCACAATTTCACTACATGGGGAAAATTCATCATCAGCGTTTATAGCTGTCTTATGCTTTTTGCAAAGTGAGTTAGATGGAGTTGGATGCAGATCCAGATGCGGCTAAAAACGCTAGCTGGCATGTTGTCAAGATCATACTTGCTATAATTTATTTATATAACTAACTATAGAACATTATCTGCTTGTACTTTTTAATTAAGACTAAGATTTGGAAATTCATACTTGTTTTTAAATATTCAATCTCAAAAACTTACAGCTTATTTACATGCTATCAAAATGAAGCATGATTTTAAAATGGATTAAACATTTAGTTTTAACTAATTTATCACTTTCATTTTAAAAACATTTAAAAAACTCAAAGCTTAGTCTCAATATTATAACTTTATTCGCAGACTCTGGTTTATTTGTTATTTTTATTATTTTATTTTTCTCATGCATTTTTTTAAGGACTGTTCGAACAACAAGTAATGCAGAAATCATAGGTCTCCAAACTGTAATTAATTCATTTATTTTGATGTATTTAAATCAAATTAATCACCTTTTGTAGAAGTCCACTTTCAACAGTCGAGTGCCAGATACGTTCGCAAATATTTATCTTGTCATGCACACCTCCCTAATTGCCATCGATCAGAGATAAACTTTCTATCGAGTGGTGGTCAATGGCATGCGCAAATATTGGAAAAATGTCAACGAGAGATATTAACAATTTTAAGTCACTTTTCGAGCAGACAGTAGCCAGTTGCCACTTTCAAAACTCGCACCTCTTCTCGTTGCCGTTTGTTTATTAATTTGGCTCGAAAACGGGCCTAAAGCGAGGGATCGATGATCGTCGCCTAGCAGCACATCAGTATCGCGCGGATCGAACACTTTCCATTTTTATGGCAATTTTTAGTTTTCTTCACAAACACGTATCCCGAACGGAGATGCGGTGGCACATGTTAACTGTGTAATATGGCCAAGTTGAGTGTGAACTTGTTATGGGCCGAAAACCTCCTGGAAAACCCGTTGGAATCACCGACCGACGATCAACACACCTGCGATCGTACAAACGGGTTGCCTTTGCCGCGTCGCTTTAACCAACTAATGGCTACGATCATTTTCCATTAAAAGTTGCATTAAATTGCAATTCGATTTTTCCGCGACGCGAACCGAACTCCACGGAATATCGAAAACAAATGAAAACTGAGGTGGCGCGAGTTGAGTTGGAAAACCTGTTGCTGTTGCTGATGCCCACACACACAGTTGCAAACTAAAAAATGCACTCCTCACAGGAGCACTGGAATGGTTTGCACTTTTATTTCTCCATCATCACAAAATAACTACTTATTTGATTACTTTAACGTAATTAATAAAAATGCGATACAAATGGAGGAAAAATTAAAAACACGAACCCAAAAACAAAACAGAAAACAAAATAATGCGACGCTTAACACAGTTGCATGACAGACACTTATCGAGAAACGTGTATCGGGAAGCATTCACCACGACTAGTGTGACCATGCGCTCGATAAGTGTTATTTGCCGCCGTCTTCGATTTGATATCGTTATTTTTGAATTCAAAATGATATTAGCACTTAAATCTTTTTCCGTCACAGTACGTGTTAGACACGTCGGAAATTTCAAGAAAAATTAAAAAAAAATATTAAAAATTTTCTGTGAAAGCCTTTTGAAGATACCACCAAAATCTAACATCTATTTATACATAAATCCGCTATGGAAGTTGGAGGTAAGACCTTTATAGAATGGACTCTTGCATCCCGCTTATAACCTCTCTCCTTCAACAGTTACCCTAAATAATGAACTTGAGTCTCAGATAGCGGAGGCATTTTGCATCTTTGACACACATGGCGATAAGTACATTGATACGCGCAATGTGGGCAACGTCCTCCGATTCTTGGGCTGTGTGCCCACCGAGAAGGAAGTCCAGAATGTCATCAAGGCCACCGAGTCTGTCGATTATCCGGGGGAATCTGCTTTAACGAAATTTGTGGCCCACGTCTCCCTGCTGCTCATGAATCGCCAGTAAGATTATTTTTCTAAGTCAACTGATAAGTGGTAATTCAAATATTTATCAACTATAAATAATTTATTTATTTTATTATTTTAATGCACTTATCAGTATTTTCCTAAAGATCGTTAAGTTCAGTTTAAAGAAGGGAAATACAACACTTATTTGTATATTCTTAAATATTATTGATACTTTTTTTTTACAGAATGGAACCAGCCACAACAGAAAAGCTTCTAGAGGCATTCGAGACATTAGATCCAGAAAACAAGAAGTACTTGACTAAGGAGTATTTCGGCAAACTGATGTCGGAGGAAGGCGAACCCTTCACCACAGAGGAAATGGAGGCAATGTGGCCAGTTGCCATTGATCCCATTACTGGAAACATTCCTTTCACCTTTTACATAAACCAACTGAAGGTAAGGCCAAACCTTCTCCACGTTTAGGTAATTTCAATTTTAATTTCTCTTTAAACCCGTCAGCACAAGCCCAAAATCTATGACATCGCCGATATGGTTAAGGAGGAATTGGCCCAGGCAGAGAAAGAAAAGGGAAAGAAACCCCAACAAACTCTATTATAGCTAAAACTAATTCATTCAGAAATCAAAATCCTAAGAACGCTAATAAATTTTTTACTAATTTTTATACATTGAAAAGTTGCATTTAAGGTTAAGATTTATTTCAAATTAATTTTTGTCCTTTATTTAACTTTATTCTATTTCTTTTCGAAAATATGTTGCAAAAATATTTAAAAATCCCACCGTATTCCACTGTTCCACTTTCTCAGCAGAACGGCCACACTGGCATGCGCAGTAGGTTTTCCAACTTAGTGGTGGACCCATCGGTGTTTAGAATTATTTGAAATTAAAATATCGATAGCTTTAATAATTTAAATGCCAAATTTATTTACGACAATTAGTAATTAACAAACATATATGCTTTATTTTATTTGAATTATGATAAGCAAATTATTAAGTAAACATCCTTTTGCGTATTAATAATAAGTTAGATAATAGCATTCGAATGATGGCTATCGATGTTCTTAAATTAGCCGACCTGATATCGATAGTGCCATCGCTGTTTTTCCAGCACCTCCTTCCACCACCGAAAACCACGTCAGCTTTTCACAAACCATTCAGAAAAGAACACGTCAGCAGAAAGGAAAACCAGTCGGTCGATATTGCAAAGGTGGATGAGGAAATTGCGTGAGACAGAGCCAGAAAACACCGAATCGGTGGCGATGAAGAGGTTGAAACCATCAGAGCGTCCGAGAAGCGCAGTCGAAGCCCACAAGACGATCTAAGTTGAACAACACTCAGCGGAAGTTCGCATATACGATGCAAATCTAAGTGGAAAAGCGCTTTCCACAGTTGCCCCAGCACACAGCAGTTTATTATTTCGCCCCAATCAGTTAGCAATGGCACCCACAGCAAATGCAGTGCTGATAGCCGTGCCGCGGACAGCAATCACATCGAATAATCTGCCCAAACTGCGCCCCGCCCCCCTCACAGCGGCCCTGCTCAAGGCGGCGGCCACGCCCTCCGCCTCGCCCACACCCTCGAGCTCGGGCTACGCGTCCTCGTCGAACATGGATGACGACAATCTGGCTTCATCAGCGCCCAAGGCCAAGAAGCGTCGCCTGGACCATCTCACCTGGGAGGAGAAAGTGCAGAGAAAGTAAGTACAAAATGATCAAAGGACTAGAGCCCTTACTAAATCCACTGAACCCACAGGAAGCTAAAGAACCGAGTAGCCGCCCAAACATCGCGCGACCGCAAGAAGGCGCGCATGGAGGAGATGGACTACGAGATCAAGGAACTTAATGACAAAACGGAAATACTACAAAACAAATGCGATAGCCTACAGGCCATCAACGAGTCTCTGCTGGCCAAGAACCACAAGCTGGATTCGGAGCTGGAGCTCCTGCGCCAGGAACTCGCCGAACTTAAGCAACAGCAGCAGCAGCAGCAATGCAACACCCAAAGCATCAGCCAATCCAACGCCAGCGCAGGCGCTGAGGGCTGTGCGTCCACCAACCTTGGATCTGCAGCATCCAAAGCTGACCCTCTGCCGCAGGGTATACAACAGGTGGACACACAGTCGTCAGCGCGTCTGCTGGCGGATCAGCTGAAGAGCAGCCGGAGCATGGCCTCTCTCTGGAAGGTTGTGGCCCTCTGCCTACTCTACAAGACATGCTTGGCGACGACGAAGAGTTCGACGTCAAACGCCTCGAGGAGTTGGCCGAAAGTCTGCTCGCAGATATCACAGCAGACCTGGAGACAGGCGCTGAAGAGGGCGGCCCAGTTGCTGCCCAAGATGCAGGCGACGCAGAGCGATTGCCTGGACCAGTGGTGGGGTCCGCAGCAGAGCGCCTGGAATCCGGCGGGCATAGAGCTGATGGCTTGAAGCAGGAGCCGGAGCAAATGCACAAAATCAGCCTGAATGTGCAGATGTTGGATATGGATGGAAACCCACAGCTAGAAGCAACATCGTCAGCCTCGACGACAGCCACAATCACAGCGACAGCGACCGCCTCCTTTCTACAGGCCACTCCGGACACAGTGTACGGAACGTACGATGCCAAGACCAACTCGATCACCATCGTGATGGACGGTGATGCGGTGCCGGTGAATGAGGCCGTTGAGGAGATCTACTGTGACGGCGTCACCGCTGGCGACGACTCCACGGACGTGATCATGAAGTGTCCGCCGCCAGCGACGTCGCCGTCGCAGGTCTACCTAAACATGGTGAACGCCACCGACGATTCAGACGACGAGAGCAATTTCGATCACATCAATCCGTTTCTCCGTCCGCGCGTCAAGGCGATATCCCCGCTGGCCAAATCACCCGCATTGTCCCTCCATTCGGCCACCTCGGACCACGGGTACGAGTCCATACTGGGCTCACCCATGTCGGTGTTGACTCTGCCCACCGAAGAGGAGGATTTCCCCTGGGAGAGCAACTTCGAGGAACTGTTCCCCAGTTTGATCTAGGTTGGATTCACAACGCATTTCTGTCTCTCTGTTCTACTGTTAAGTTTGGCTGGCCGCCGTATGTTTTAAGTTTTGTTAGTTGATAGGCTGTACAGAAATTCGTAATCGAAGGCTTTATATACATATGATATTGTTTTAGAGGCGCTAAGTTTAGCTGTAGGTTTCCATTTATGTTTAACAATCTCTAACCACATAGGCTTACGTTAACTTATATTGTGCTCAAAGAATTTGCGAAAACATTCGAAAAAAAAATAATATATTCAAAATACAAACCAAACCAAACCACAACAAATACTTCTTTTATTTTAATTTATTCCAGTTGAGCGCAGAACTATGAACTGCGTGTGATAAAATTGCTTGTCACGCCATTTGTCCTAACTTTCGAATCACGCCATATTTTCTGACGTAATTTCTGCGTAGACATTGCGACGGATTAAAGTGTAAACATATATGTATGATTCATTTATTTTTAATGAGACTACTACACTTCACTGCAATAAGTGACTGGAAATAATATAGCATCATGAAATAATTGCATTTACACTTCTAAGAATTTTAAATTTTATTTTGAAATGGCCTATTCCTAGTTTGAAATATCATCACTCTGGATTTTAAATTAAATTTTTAATTTTAATTTTTAAGACGTAGAAAAGTTAGACCTTCCTTTTTAAAAGTTAGTTGGTTTCAGTGAACTAATATTAAATTAAAGCCTTTTGTTTAAAGTGAAATTGTCGTTCTTTATGGCTAGCAAATAAAAACTATACATTTTTAAAAACGGCAAAAAGTTGCATATAAAAAGTTTATGTAAAGATAGTTAGTTACCACTTTAAGCAAATTGGGCAAAAAACTTAAAGAAAAATTAATTTATATTTTGATAAGTAGGAGATTTTAAACTAATTTTAAAATTCCAACGAACAAAAATGAAATTTTGAATAAAATTGTTAAAAGAAAAGCAAAATGTTTGTGAGCCACCCTAACGAGCAGACAAACAGATGTCGAACTAGTTCCGACAAAATGATTGTTTATCAAATTGAACTAGTTCTTTTGCAGAGCTGGTCACAACATCACAACTACCTGCATAAATTGCAATAAATCAAGCAATTTACAGCAAAAAAAGACTCCAAGAAGGAGCAAAAATGACGGAACCAGCCATTGAGGGCCCAGATGCAGTCATGGAATCGACCGCATCAACGCCTATCGCCTCCCAATCTCTGGACTCGGCGGCCATAGAACAGTTCGAGGATGAGAAACCAGCCAAGGGAAAGAAGAAGCCCAAAAACCCGAAGGGTCGCCACTCGGAGTCCGCCGTGGGATCTGAGCTCAAGAAGCTCGGGCAGCGCCGGATCAATGTGGCCGGAGCCCCGAAAATGCCACTCAATGGCTACGTTCGGTTCATGAACGACCGGCGCGAGGAGCTGCGTCGGGAGCAGCCACAACGAACGGCACTGGAGCACACCAGGATCATCGGCGAGGAGTGGCACCAGCTGCCGGAGGAGCGCAAGGTGCCCTACATGGAGGCGGCCGCCAAGGACAAGGCCATGTAAGATCCCAGACGCTCCATACCCAACTGACAGTCAAAACTCTAATGTTTATTACCATATTTTTGTAGTTACCAGGAGCAGCTGCAAATGTTTCTGCAGGAACACCCCGAAATTGTGGCCAAGGAGCTGGCCAAGGCCAAGAAGGTCACCAAATTGGAGAGTTCGGCCAAAGAGAAGACACCGAAGACTGAAGCCAGTTCGGCCAAGACCAAGAAACCCAAGGCGAAGCAAGTAAAGCGGCAAAGCGAGGATCCCGATGACGTCCCGCTGGCCAAGGTGAAGCGTGCCCAGACACCACCTCCTCCGGAAGCATCAGCAGCACCAGCACCTCCACCTCCACCACCACAACAACCGCCAGCAGTTCAGCCCGCTCCGATGAATGTGGCGCCGCCGGCACCACGACCCCTTCAGCCCGGCGAGATACCCATATACACCAACGAGTTCATCGAGCACAACCGCAGCACAGAGAACGAGCTGCGGACGCTGCGCAAGGCCAAGACCGATCTGGAGCAACAGAACGCGGTGCTGGAACAGCACGTGGACAACACGAAGGCCGGCTACGCCAAGGTGATGGGCGAGGTGACCGAGCTGATGGAGGAGAACCGACGCCTGGAGACCTACGTGCGCGGCCTGCGTCAGAAACTTGTGGCCGCCCTCGGTGGAATCTCTCTGCCGCCGCTGGAACCGAGTGGTCCCAGTGTGGGCAACATTGACAAGTACATACGCCACTTGGCCGGACTCGTTGGTCAGCCGAACAACGTCACTTTGCTGAAGGCCCGGGAAGCCCTTCGCAAGCTGGACACCAGTAGCCTGCTAAAGCCCTAAAGTGAACCCCTTTATAGAACCCGCAGTATTTATATAAAGTCTAGTTTTAAGAGCGCTGACATCATTACATTTACTTATCGCTATTTGCCTATTTTAAGATACCTATCCCAATATAAATATTAGCTTTCTCTGATTCACCCTTTTCTTTTTTTTTTATTTCTTTTGAGGTCTCATTTTTAAGTTGGGAAATAAATCTATCAGTGCTGTTACATCTTTGGTGCTCCAGTTGTATTTTGAGGTCAAGACATACAAGGAAATTGCTTAAATCCTGAAAATAAAGCCAAATGCAGTTGATAACATAGTTCGAAGATTTAAAATTATTAAGGAAAAAGAGCGTCACTTAAGCAGACCAACAACATAAAATTAACAAAACGCGAAAAAGATTGCATTTTGAAAAAAATTACTTTAAATCTAAAAATTTTTTAGTATTACAAAAGTTATTTTTTAAACCATGTTGAGCATATCCCCAAAGTTTTATCTAAATCGGACGATAGCTACCAAGGTAGATCCTTTAAGAATCTTTAGAATTAGTAGCTGTGTAGAATTTATAAAAACCAGAGTTTTAAGAGCGCTAACATCCGTAAGTGTATTTGCCAATATCTGCGTATTTTAAGGTAATAAGCCGAAAAGAATCATGAGTTCATTGTGTCGTGTTGTTTTGTAGTTTATAGTAGTAGTTGGTCAGTTTTCCTTGGGTGAGTCATTTGGAAGTTGGGAGTGGTTTTTGAAGCTGCGATAGCGGAACCCAGCCCTCGGTTCGCCATCGCCTCCAGCCAACGAGCTATCCACCAGCCTGTTGGTCGGCATCCTTGTGCGGCGGAACCAAATGTTGCGCAAAATATAGTAACCGCCCAACAGCATGGGAATCACCATTATCGGGTGGCAGACTAAGCCCAGCATGAACAGAAATGTGGACATCATTAGGTTGATCAATGCCTCTGCGGGTGGTTACTTTTTAATGACGAGCTCCAACTTGGTTGAGGAGCCATTCACTTACGTTCGATGTGCCAAACGGTGGCCACTGTGGTGTAGACTGCATTCGAGATGGCCTCCAGTGCACCATAAATAATATTGATCACCATTCTGGTTTGGTTGATTTGCTGGGATTTCCTGAGCGAGAAGTATAGATAGCCCTGTCAAAATGGGACTAGGGAAACAAGCCGGACGCCTGGGAAAAGCCAAAAGTTACAACTCAATCAAGGGCTGCTGCTAAGAACGAAAGTAAAATTAAACAAAATTATACATATGTACTTGCTTCTTGCAGCGAAAGGTTATTTTATTATTAAACAAAATAGTCGACGTTTCACTTCTCGTAAATAAACCAAAGCATTTCTTTTCGTTTTAGTTTTCGATATTTTTTTCTCTCTTTCTTAGGAACAGCAGAACTAAACAAAAATAAATTAAAACTTAAAAGAAAATCGTTTTTCGTTTGATGTTTGTGTTTCAAAAATGATAAGTTCTAAATAATAGCATACATTTAAGGGTTTTATAACAAAAATAATTTAATGAGATAATAAATCAAGGGCGCAGACTTCAAAAATATATTCCCTTCAATCAGGGGGCAGAGGTCGTCCGCCATCTCCCCAAGATCAAAGGCCATCACTTAGGTTGGTCCAACTCTCTCACAGCGTTTGGTAAAAATGAAAAAAAGAAAACATTGTACAAAGGATTGCCGGTTAGTTGATTGGCTTTCTTCATCAATTAAAAATACGAATCGCCATTTTCATTTTGTTATTATTTTTAGAAATTTGTGTTCTGTTCTCTTATTGTTTTCAAATGTGATTCGAGTTCACAAATCATCTTGTTAAAGTAATCATTTACTTTTCGTGTTAAATGGGAGATACTGAATGTGTGTGTATAGAGTGTGTATAGGGTGTGTTTGGTGTGTTGGCGGGGCAGCCGATTCAAAAGAGTGTGTGTTGAATGAGCTGAATATTATTTTCAATCGGAGTGAGTCATTAAGGCCTTCAAGAACAATTTCAATTTCAATTGGAATGCCAAATTCAATTAGGAAACTGGTTTTTTTTTGTTTTTTTTTTTTGAGATTTTGGAGATTTTGAAAACATAAGACGGGGAAATGTTCAGCAATATTGAGCTGCATTCATCAGTGCTGCCTGCGCGCTTCTGTGGCGGTGTGTTAATTGTAAAGGAAACTGCTTATTCATATTACGGACATTCAGATATTGTATGCAAACTTCTTGGATTCGGCACCGCTTATCGGACTGCTCATCGTTTGCTGTGGCGACGGTTGCTTGCGTTTGTTTTCCCTAGTTCATATAAAGTATAATAATCTCAAACTTGTCGTCGCAGATGCAGGTGCGAGGACGATGACGACGGCGATGACGACGTCAAGGACTGCTGCTGCTGCTGCTGATGCTGCTGTTGGCGTCAGGCATCCGCACCATTGGGGTTCATGCCCACCGGCGACACCACCATCATGTTTCCCGTCTTGGGCGTGTACACACTAGCATTGGGATCCAGCGTTGAGCCGCCATTTCCGTTGGCGGCAGCGGCATTGGCCGCAGCAACCTGCAAGGCAGCAGCCACGCTGACTGGCACCATTTGTTGCTGGGAGACGGGACCATTGCCACCCTGTTGCTGCTGCTGCTGCTGCTGAAGCTGCTGGTGTTGCTGATGCTGCTGATGTTGCTGATGCTGCTGTTGATGCTGCTGATGTTGCTGGTGCTGCTGCTGGTGTTGCTGATGCTGCTGTTGGTGCTGTTGCTGCTGCTGGTGTTGCTGGTGTTGCTGATGCTGCTGATGTTGTTGATGCTGCTGATGCTGTTGATGCTGCTGGTGCTGCTGGTGCTGCTGATGCTGCTGGTACTCCTGCGCGGCACTCAAACTGAGCATGGGCGAGGACGGTCCGGGACCCGACTGCAGTGGCGGCGTGTCGTTCATCCGCAGAATGCTGCTCGCCGGTCCGTGTGGGCCTGTGTTCATGCACAAGTTGTCCGGCATCACGGCCAGCAGTTGGGCAATCTTTGCCTTGAGATCGATGACCTCATCCTCCTTGGAGCGACGATGGTCTAGGCGAGTGAGTGAGTAATAATATTTATGAGCACTTAACTTGGGGTTCTGCTTTAAACCAGAAATCGATACTCACTGTCAGATATTTCAATCTGGCGCTTGGCAGCGCCCAGAGCCGAGAACAAGTCCAGCTTGACTCTCGTCTCTGCGGATAGATTCTTCTCCAGCGTTGCGTTCTTGTCCTGCAGGGCAGCCAGGGCGTTTAATAGCATCTCGGGGTCGGGCTGCGAGGATTCGCGATTCCGTAGTTTTGCCTCCAGCATGCGGTACTGTAAAAAGTAAATATAGTTGTTTTAGATCACCGAACTTTTAAAGATAAAATTATCTTTAGTTACACACTTTCCAACTATCAAAAGCTGAAATTAATATGTATTATTAAAACCTCACCTCTTGTTCCAATTTTCGTCCATGTTCGACGGCCAGTTGCTTGCCCTCCTCCGTCTGCTTGAGGTCGCCACGCAGTCGTTTCTGCTCCTCATCCATCTGCTGGCGCCGCTGCTTGCACTGGGAGCTGCACTCGGGTCGAGCCGCCTTCTCCTCAGCCAGCTTGCGAGCCTTCTTCTCGTTGGACAGCTGCGAGTCGAGGGATTGCTTCTGACGGCGCTCCTCGTTGAGTCGTCGCTCCACAGTCTGCAGATTGAGCATGTCGGCGTGGCGGGCGTTGTTCAGCTCCTGGATGCGCTTCTCCAGATCGTCGCACTCCTTCTGCTTCGCCTGGAGCGTTGATTTGCTGGTGAGATTCACGTCTAGCTTCTGTCGCAGTTCGTTTTCGATTTGCTTCATGTGGCTAATCTCAGCGCGGTACTTTTTAACATCAGCCTCCAGTTTGAGGCAGGTTTCGCAGATCTTGGAGACCACCTTGCTGGCCAAGTGAGCGATGGCATTGCTGGATGTGGAGCTGGCCGTTGATGATACCGAACTTGTGTCGTTATTGTTGTTGTTGTTGTTGGCCGTGTTCTCCTTGTCCTTTTCCTTATGTTGCTGAGCCAGCTGCTGCTGATGGCTGTGATTGTCCTTCGCTGCGGCGTTATCCTTTTTTCCACGATTGCGTCGACCTGATTAATTAGTCATATATATAGCCTTTTAAATAATACTCTCTCTCTCTATATATATAGGTACTTACCCTTGGGCGCCTTTTCAGCAGGTGGGGCTGGCTCCACACTGGCCGTTTCCTCGATTTCAACGTGATTAGCATTTCCATTGGGAACAGCGTTGCTACCCTTTTTGTCTGCAAATGTTTATGGAGAAATGTTATTCTAAAATTCATATTAAAGTATCGTTAAAGCTCAGCTCAAAAGTGTGTTATAAAGTGGTTTGTGAAAGCGTTTAAAAGGTTGAAAGAACTCTATAAACTTTATAAAGGCATTTACATCAAAAATTCAAATAAGGGAAAAATAAACTTCAAGTTAAAATTATTTTTCAAAAATGTTAGAAATTTGATAAATTTCAAAGCAGCATCAAAGCAAATTATTGTTCGGAAAAAAGGTTTATTTTTTGTATATTTATATTGTATTTTTTTACTCTTGCTGAGCGTATTATAAATTTAAAGTTTTACGAAGAGTAATACACAATTTTTAAGCGACATTATGATTCAGTTTTTTGCAGCTATCGTAAAACAGCGAATTGGAAAGTCAATCTTAAGTTAAGCTTAAACAAAGGCCAAAACGACCTAATGGAAATTACTACTTAAATAAGCGCCAATACAAAACTTTATAAAATTTTGGGCGTCTTCTTTTAATGCAAGTGTCAATTTAACAAATGTCCAAAAAAAAAAAAAATAGAAAATATTTCTTGATAGAAAAATGATGAAACTTTGGAATCTCAATCTAACCGAACAATTTAACTATGTCGATCAATAAACACAATCGATAAGATTAATGCCTATCTGGCTGGGCTCTTGAAAGTAATGAAATCATTGGTTCCCACCGGCACTCACCATGCTTTTCCTTGCCCCCCTGCTGCTGCTGTTGTTGTGGATAGTTGGCGCTACTATCCCAGTCTGACTTCTCCTTATCCTTATCCTTATCCTTACTATTACTTGATGTAGCTGTTGCTGTTGTGGTTGCTGTGGCAGCGCCGCTATCGACCTGGTGATAGTTGTTGCTGCTATTTTTACCCCCGTGTCGCGTTCCATTGTTGTGCTCGTTATCAGCAGCGTCAGCCTTGTTGCGATGCTTATCCTTGTCCAAGCTGCGTCGGTGGTTCCTTGAACCACCAGCGTGACCATTGGAGGTTGCTGAAAGAGTATAATAATAGAACGTTAAGTGCATGTCTATTTATATTTATATATAAGTCGACGCGCAACATAATTGTGTTTTATTGATTTCGTGATGGAATGGGGTCGGGGTCGGGGGGAGGACGTATTAGTTGTTCGAACCGCCTGCTGACTTGAATTGGAATTAGATTTGCATTGCAGCAGGACCATAATGATATGAAGGTTTCGATTTTGAAGGGCTGACAACTGCCGACTTTGGTGGTGGTTGCTGTGGATTAGACATCGCCAGGAAGCGAGGAAGCGAGGAGGAAGCCTCGCTGGCGGTTACTATTATATTGGATGGATTCGTGGATTACATGCGCATACAGAAACATACAAATGTGTCTGGTAGAAATTAGTGGGTTCTTTGTTGCTGTTGTGAGGGTCAGCAAAAAGGCAGCTGAAGACATTATTACCACCACAACAACCGTCAGCATCGGCACCCTCGGAAGTGGAGGAGGAAGAACGGGCAGAACGATGTTGCGGCTGCTGCTGCTGTTGCTGCTGCTGCATCGCCAGACTTGCGGCCAAAGCAGAGAGAGCTGAGACGGGAGTGGAAGAAGTGGTTGCTGCACCTGTTGTGGCCGTGGACGATGCTGTCGACGCCGAAGACTGTTTGCCGCCCGCCGCCGCCGTCGCCGCCGACGACGACGTTGATGAGGAACCGGCGGAGTTGGGTGCCGACGAAGCAACTGACGCGACTCCCGTTGCTGAAGCCGCTGCTGATGACGACGATGAGGCCGCCGTTGTGCCGTCGCTCGCTCCGTGGTCCTTGCCGCCGCCGCCACCGCCGTTGCCATTGTGGTTGCTGCCGCTGTTGCCACTGTTGCTGTTGCTATGATGGTGGTGATGGTGATGATTACTATTGCTCGAGCTGTTGCTGCTGCTGGCGCCGGCGCCGCCGCTGTGATGATGCTCATGATGGTTTTGTGCTTGCGTGGCAGTGGCCAAAATGCCATTCGCCGCCGTTGCCCCGGATGTTGAGACCAGGGCCGATGTGGTGGCAGACCCGTTGGCCACCACGACGGAGCTGGATGTGGCTGTCGCCCCCGCAGCCGCCTCCTCGGCCGCCTCTTCGGCGGGAAGGGCCTGCTGCAGTAGCTGCATGTAGAACTCGTTGTCCTTGGCCACCTCGCGCTGCTTCCGCTGTCGCATGCGGTAGCCCACGTAGCTTTTAAAGCCGAATCCCAGCGTGACAACCGGATAGCCAATGCTGCGAGCGGAGAGGGTGAACAGTTAAAGAGCGTTAAACAGGTACTGGTTATCAGGCTCCAATGCTCACCAATGCGCTGCAAACGGCCGGCAGAGATCCAAGTGCGGCATGTGGCGACTGTCCTTCCATCGTATGCCCACCTCCAGGTAGACAAATAACATCCAGAGTATTATGGTCGGCAAACAGATCCCCTTATCTGCAAGAGAACAACGGGTGAGTTGAGCCAGTTAGCAGATGCCCCAACCACTCCGAACTGGATGACGCACCTGTGTGCCAGACGTACTGCACCCAGACATATGTGCTGGCCGCGAAGAGCAGCCAATGAACGGGTATGAAGAACAAACAGACCAGATCCGACGTTATCGCTATACACACGAACAGCACGGAGAATGCCTGCAAATTAAATTGGGCCCCTATATAGTGTTTCACTCGCTCCGGAGGTGTCACTCGCTCCGTCCCGTCCCGTCCCGTCCCGTTTCACTTACCAGTCCCTTATACTTAAAGGAATCGTGCACGGAGCGGAGGAGCAGCCAGAATGGCCACAAGAACTCAAACCGGAACATGAACATGAAATCAGCCACCATCACGATGGCCCAAAGGATCAGAAACTTCATGTACAAAACTGTTGTGCTGCAATCAAGAGAAAAGGATTAGGAATCAAGAGTTGCTTATCTGATATCAATGTTTGTTTTGATATATTTTATACATGTATTCCTGCAGAGCTTATATCAACTTTTCTTAAAAGTCTCTAAACAATTAACTTACTGTTTGTTTGAACTATCAACACCTACAAACATACAACTAAAAAAGACCAATTCGTGTGATTTTGAAAAGCAATATCTCCTAAAAGAACACATTCCTTACTATATAAGGGAACACATCACCTTATTGTAGTAAACAGAAAAACTAGATTGAACAAAGAGCGAGTGGAAAAAATAATATGTAAATGCCATTTGGTTTTGTTTTTATCGTTTCCTATATAAGGCATCTTTTTTTGTTTGCTGTGACATATATTTTTGGAGCTTAAATATAGATTAGCACAAAGCCGGGAATATTTTTTTAAATTCAAGATAACTTCAAAGTAAATTCTTCTTGTTTTTGTGTTATTTAATTAATTTAATTATATGTGTACGATGACAAAATAATTTTTAAACAACGGACAACTGATCCCATTAAGAAATCAAAACAACTAAGGGACAGCATTAATTCCTTGATTCCACGCATCAATTAGGCATTAGAATATGTTTAATAAGATTTGCGACGTCAAGATTAAGAAATCTGACCAAACAGAAGCGCAAAGAAGCGGGTGAAATGCCAAAAACGAGTAGCGTCCAAATAAATACATGCATAACATCATAAAACAACAGCACTAAGGCGCAATCAAAAAGTAAACAAACGTATAAATAATAAGAAGGCAAGAGGAGGGAGGGGGGAACGAGTTCCGCCACATGAGCACACTACACTCTCGGAATTTCGTGGTTGTTCTTCTCTTGCGCCTCAGGAAATCTGATAATTATCAAGTTGACTTTTGGGGGCCAGTTCGCATGCCAATAAATCGAAAAGTATCTTTATTACCTCAATTAAGAAATGGCTTGATCTCGCATAAGGCATAAATTATTTGATTAATGGGCTGCGACAAAAATCTCACCGATTTTCTAAACATTACAATTCTGACTCTGAGCAATATGGCTGAATTTTTTTTTTTTTATTTATTTCGTTCGTAACTGATTAAAATTAATTAGAAAAGTTATAGTGCATGACGGAAGACATTTTTGCATTACAAAACCACAAAAAGCTTTATAAAATAAGTTGTTCAAATATCTGTTTAAATTGAGAGAATCTCGAATTCTTGGGTTCTAAATAGTTTTGGGGATCCCTTTACTTATTCATTTAAGCAGCTTTAAGAGTATATGAGTTGAAACCTTTGCAATCTTTTTCTTCAATGGGCAGGCGGATAACCCCGCTGATCGGACGACTGACTATATCAAAATAGTGGGCATACAAACTATTGTTTTATAGACGTATATGGTTTTTATTTGATTGCAAAGAATTGATACTTTTCTAAATACAGAATCGTGTTGGCGTAGCTACCTTTAGCAACAACAGACGCTCGAACCATTCTGTTTTAGTAACAAACAAATATATAAGAGACCTGTGATATAAATAAAAACAAAATAAACTCGAATTGAGTAGTCTACTTAACTTAAAACCTTTGAATAAGTGCCCAAAGCAGTCTAATCTTGAGAGTTGCGTTTTATAATAATAGTAATATTTTAGTAGTACTAATAGCACTCACCTGCCGTACATTCCCTCTGTGATTTTGTTGCGCTTAATCGGCCGCCGAAGTTTGCCACAATCCGCGTTGCGTCGCTTCATCTTGGATGCGCGGCGTGTGTCCCCCTCCGCAGCGATTCGATATTCGATAGCCCTTAAATTAGTTTGCTGCTTCCCTCCCTTTGCTGTCCTATCAAACTTATGAATTGTACGGATCGAACGGATTGAATTTGCGCTCTACTTTCTTTTCACTTGATAATCAGATGCTGCTGGGGCTCCTGATAATTCCGGAGGCGATGTCGGCGTGGTTTCGCTTGCTTGTGCTTGTGCCTCTGCTGCCGGCGCGACGGCATCTCATTTACATCTGATGCGTTTGGAAAATGTTTTTCGCCTCCTGCTGAGCCGGCTTTTTTATTTTTTTTTTGTTCGATTTTCACACTGCAAACAGATGACACAAGAAAATGAGGGGATGAGAATATAAAGAGATGCCAAAACAACGAGTGCCAATGCGAGAAAACGTGAGAAAATGTGAGAAAACGCGACCGAAACTGCTTTGGCATTGAATTCTCTGCTGAGATTGACCAAATGTCAACTACTCCTATTTAAAATCATCAGCAACTTATAATATGTACAAAACAAAAATGTATTTTTAGGCCTGCTATTCTTCTGTTGATTGCACTTTCGCTTTGTTAAGAATTGTTCGCGTAATTAATTGTGCGGGCGTTTGAAGTTCAATATTTGAAAGCTAGACGTAACCAATAGACGACTAATTGTCTTTCTATATTAAAACATCAATTTCATACTTTGCCATTTGTAGTATGCCATTCATGAGGGAGCTTTAACGTTTAATTGTTTAAATGACTATATTTTATATTCAAATTTCTTAAAAGTTTTCTCCAGTTTTATAACTTCTTTTACGAAAAAATGTGAGCTGTTTTGAAATTAAATTGTTTTCCCCTAAAGGGAAGTTGGCTTCTAATTTGATACTCATGAGTCATTCGTTTGCATAATCTTAATATTTATCATATACTTAAACTTACATAAGAAAGAATAATATAGTTTTATTTAACTATCGTTTATTTATATACCATAATTCACATAGTCCCTAGCTGTATTATGAGCAATTCAGATATTGTATAATTTCAACATGTATATTTTCATAGAAAATTTCACAGCGACAATCTTTGAACTCTCAGAGTAGTCTCTAAATATTAAATTGCTTATGCACGAACTTCTGTCAGCTTCAAAAAGCGTTGAAAGCACACCTGTGGGCCAGAGTAAATAATTTCGTGTGGAATTGTGTGTATTCAGATACGTGCCACTAAAGCGTTCTGCAAGTTTTTGGTGATTGGTAGAATTTAAAGACCCTGACAATACTTAAGTCTAGCAAAATCTAGATATTAAGTAAAAAATATTCAAGCAAATAAAGTGTAGTATGTGAATACCCTGACAATACTTAAGTCTAGCAAAATCTAGATTTTAAGTACAAAATATCCAAATAAATAAATGAAAACCTGCCATGATCAAATTTGGCTTATTAATCGAAGAAATCGTTTTTTCTTATTGCAAACCAGTTAATCGTTTTGTTGCTCCGCAACAGAATGGTAGTTAAACCAATGGGAATGCCAAATGATTGCCAAATGAATCGATAAAAAATCTAAACTGTCTTAAACGATGGCGATAAATTCGGGAAGAGAACTTGAAAATTACAAGTGCAGACGGACAAACACGCACACTCATCCGTGTACACAAACAAATCAATGCAATGAACAGTTTTTTGGGAGTGTGGGAATCACGGGAGGTAATGGGAATCCGGGAAAAGGAAATGGGAAATACATACATACATGCATACATATACATATGTAATTGTGCACTCTTCTCAACATGTGGATGTGGATGCTGCCCGGTAAATTCGGTGGAACGTGAAATCCTCGCACACACGCTCTGTTGCGCCAATACAAGAGTTGATGTGGATATGGATGTGAGATATGATATGGCTATGGATATGGAACGGACTGTCAATGCGACTGCGCCAACTCAATCGGAAGCGGAACTATGCAGATTTCAAGGAAGCAGAGCAGAATCACTGGCCAGGCATCCTTGTGTGTATGTATACGGGTGAAAAGGTTTATAAATAGCATCCAAAAGTGGAGCGCATCCATGGCCTGGCCACATGGCAGAAACAGCAATTGCGGAAGCTCCGCTCACCGATGACGTCTGGCGCTGTTGCTGTTGCTCGATTGTCCTGTTCCTGTTTTAGAGCCCGTTTCTCGTCCTGTGATGTGGATGGACCACAAATGGACACCTGAATGCGAAATGGACTTGCCTTTCGGACGACTGTTTGCTTCGTATCCGCCATTTTGTAACGCCTGTCGGCATCGAGTCAAATAAATACATAATTACCAAAAGGGTTGACTCCACTTGGGCCCATGCAAGTATGCCTTGCTGCGATATCAATATTTTACATATCCTAAAGATATGTTAAGATAAACAGCAATGTTTAGTAAAAAAATAAAATCTTATGAAAATGATTTAAGTTATACTAAAGTTAAGAATACGATATTGGAACTTAAAACGAACTTGTTTCAGCACTTAAAATATTTGCTTTAACAAAATATCCACTCTTCAAAGTCGGAATCGTTTCTTGAAATCTGTATTTAATTTATACGTTACTTTTGGCTTTCAATTACAAAAATGCTTCTGTGAATAGGTACTTTATAAATAAAAAAATAAATTGGATAAATAATGTAACTTTCAATAAATGTTTATTTGCAGTGGCTCCATTATTGCTTATTGGGCGAAAATAATTTTGTAATACATTCAAAAAGCCTATTAGTAAGTGGTGTTGTTCGACATGTTTTGGTCTTATGGTATTTCTGACCATTAGTCCGGAATTTTTTTAAGGCATGTAAAACAAAGCTCAGTTAGACCGGATGGTTTTTTTTTCAAATAGATAAATAGTGCATAGAAAATACATGTCACATCTTTTACTCAGTTGACTCCATTACCGAACTAATTTTTTGGCTCGTTTTTGACTTTATCAACAATAAACAAATTCTTTTGGTGGTTGTTATTACAACAAGAACTTTGTGAAAAGTATATAATATGACAAGTTTCGATATAGATATGTATATCTAGTTAGCAGGAATATGAGAAAACCGATTTAATCGAAAATATATGTAACATTAAAATGACCCACAGTTTTGGCGGCGTATAGTCAACGGCTCATAAAGTGCACTGATTTTGCTCTCCCTCTCTTTTCATCTCTCTCTTTTGTTTTACACTTTCCCAATTGCATTTCGTTGGCCAAAACGAGATCGCACTGACACACTCCCACGCACTCACACACACATACAAAACTCACAGATGTGCGCCCATCGCATTTAGAAAAGCCACAAAGTAAAAACAAAAACAAAACAAGAAAACAACAACGTCAGGGCGACAAGATTGGACGCGCCACAAAAGGCTAAAGAACTTTGATAAAATGCGGTAATTTGGTGGCCGCTTTTTGCATAACTTTCTAGAATTTTGCGATAACGGGCGCTCCACATTTTCTGCGCCGAGGGTTTAATCGGTGGGGCAGCGTGTTATCAGAAAAAGGGTAGCGAATTGGTAATAAATAAAACAAACACAAAATAACGAAACCCCATTGAAGCCGGTTGTCTTGATCACCTTCGTTTTTCCGAAAATAGCTAGAATAAAACAAAACATCTTCTGTGTGTGTGTATGGGTATGCATGTTTGTGCAGGCAGAGAGCAACAAAAACAACAGACAAGGCGCGGGGGTGAAAAGTTGAACGAGCGCGGGGGTCGGTGAGAACGAGCTTTCAAACAGCATCCACATTTCAGCCAGGAAGCATCCTTTTATCGCTCTCTTCTCTGTCAGGAAGCATCCTTTTGGCGCTCTCGTTTTCTCTGCCAGCGTAGACTGCGGTTACGTTTGCCCCTGTATGCGTGTATGTGTGTGTGTTGGCGGCTGGCACACGTATAGGGACACCTATGTATACACTTATATATTTTCACACTCCTCACCTACACGAACACAACGATATACACACAGCCAAAAAGCACTGCAAAATTGCACACGTTTTTTTCAGTACTTTCGGCTGGCATTTGGCCTTTTCAGCCTGCAATTTTTTCACATGATATTTCACTGATTTTTCTGCAGAACTTATTTACTTCCAGGCGGACTTTTAATACAATTTGCACATTTCCCACAACTGCGCTGTGTCTGTGAGCATGTGTATGTGCCTCGGTGCCTGCGTGTGTGTGTTGGATGGATGGATTCTTTGGCACCCGAAAATTTTTCTTTACACATTGACAACTGCGTTGCTCGGATGCTTACACTCGATTAGCACTGCATTTTCTCTCCGCGTAACGGTAATCGTTGTGCATAAATATCCCGGTGATCAGTATCGATTGACTTGCGTTTTGTATATTTTAACACGAAATCGAAACTCCGAACGCTTCGAAATGACGCGACCAGTGTGGTCGTGACTCGACTGCAAAAAAATACCGCCGATGAAAGTGCTAAAAAAAACCACGCGATATATATAAGTCTGTGAAAACGATACTGTTCCCAAACCATGCTGTGCAACTTGGTTACAAACTTATCGGCGACTTGAACCAAATAGACTAAATATGATCAATAAACTTTGTTTACACTGGCACTGCGTTGTTACGATTTGTGGGGTGTATAAGCAGCACATTTTTGAAATCAACCAAAATATTAAAAAAAGATTCAATTTATAATCCTCAAACCAGATCCTATATTTGTTTCTGCCTATGCAAATGAATACGAAACTCCTATTAGAGTTGTCTTCCAATTCCCCTGGCGATGTTCAATAAATGCTCTTCACGGTAAAAACATAGTTCTAAAACTTTAAGGAATCAGAAAAAACATTACAATTTGCAAAAATTTATTTTGCATCGGCCGGGAATCGAACCCGGGCCGCCCGCGTGGCAGGCGAGCATTCTACCACTGAACCACCGATGCTCTTGGTTTACCACATGTCCTATACTATAAAGTTCTAAGTTTGAGCACTTCCGATCTTTCGGTCAGTCACGAGATTTAACGCCCTCCCCGCATCAAGACTCCGTGGCGCAACGGTAGCGCGTCCGACTCCAGATCGGAAGGTTGCGTGTTCAAATCACGTCGGGGTCATAATATTCTTTTTGGTTTTTAAATTGGTAAGCTCCCAACTAGAAAGAAATTTAAATAACTTTGAATAGCGAAGAAATTATATTTTGTTGCTGTACACAATGGACTAAAACATTAGTAAGAACTATTTTGTGCCAACAAGAATTTATAAGCGTAAAATATACATTCATATTTTAAGGTATCTTTTTTTTTAAAAAAAAAAAAACCTTGAAGCTTAGTAAAAATTAAAAGAAAGTTATCTTATCCTTGTTTTCTTTAAATAGAAAATCATTCGAGCTATCAAAAAAATTAAAAGAATTGCTGTGGAAATAGTTTTTTTTTGTTTTGGTTAAGAAACACCTTCCCCAAAAGGGCATTAAAAATATAAATGGAAGTGATGTTTTTCACTTTTTATTTTATAGTATCCGATAATATAGTATATTTGAATTGTACATTATTATGCGTGTACCTAGAATCTGCGCATTTAGAAACAATCTGAGTGTTAAATATACTCTTAAAACTAAATACATAACAAAATAATAAACATTTCAAGTTTTGCGATTGCTGATTTGTTTATGATCGGGCTCCTACTTCCACACAAGTTCCCCTGTCAATTTCCTGTCCATACAATTCGTTTCCTTTGCTAATTATTTGCTATATCTGTGTGTATCTGTTGCTCCACGTAGTCCTTGGTAGTTATAGTTCCTATTGTATGATACGTTAAATTACGCGAAATAAACTCAATCTGATTTTAAAAGCGACCGACCCACTCGTGTCAACAAATGCTGCGTAATCTCAGGTTAAAAATGGTACAATTTTCTCATGTATGGAGTTACACTTAAGTTACTTGGTAAGGAAAATCATAAATTACAGTTTATCTTGAATTTGCTCAAACATGCGTTTGTTTCTTAGTTGATCTGTCTGTCGCCTATGCCTATGCCTATGCCTATGCATCGTCTTCGGCTTCGACAGCGGCGGAAGCAGCTTGTGTTTTGGGTTCCTCCGAAGTTGGAGTTTCGGTTTGGGGTTCAGCAGCCGGCGCTGGAACCGATTCCTCTTTGGGCGCAGCCTCTGTGTGAATGACTTGCGGCGGCTCCGGGCGGGGCGGAGAACCTTCAGGTTCCCTCGCGGACTGATCCTGGGCCGGTGGATTCGCTGCTGGCGGTGGCAACTCGTCATAGAGAGGCGTGCAGGCGGCAGAAGCATCCGTTTGAGGTTTCGAAACCGATGAATCACTCGCAACTTCAGCCGGCTTGACAAAGTTCTCGGTCGCCGTCGGGAGTTCTTCCTGCGGCGGTCTAGTTTCGGGCTGGGGAGCATCTTTCCCTGGCTTTTGGGCCTCCATTCTCGCCTCGTAATCCTGAAGCTCCTGATCCCAGTCCTCTTCGGTGTCCACTTTGTTGGACGTGAGTGCTGGCGTTCCTGTTGTGGCGTTAGTTAACCCAGCAGGTCCTGCATTTTTGGGTTTAACCTCAGGCTCGGGAGCTGGCTTGCTGCTTTCGTCCGTGGAGCTTATTGAATGGCGGCTGCTGTCGTCTCGCGAGCCGCGTCTGTTTCCAAAGCCCGGACGTTCCCGATCCTCGCGCGGACCTCCGCGTCCGCCCCGTGCATTGTTGCCCCGGCGATCGTCCATCATTTCGCCTCCGCGATCGCCACGGAATCGATTACCGCCAGGACCACCTGGACCGCCACGCCGCTTGAAGTTGTTTCCGCCCTCGTCTTCATCGTCGCTCCAACGTCCGCGTCCGCCAGGACCTCCGCCTCCGCCCATGCCACGGCCTCCGCCTCCACCTTGGCCTCCACGTCCGCGTTGGTTGTCATTGAAGGGGTTCCGTGGATTAAAGAAACCTATAAAAAATAGAGAATTAATATGTTGATGCGGAATAAAGAACATTACCTTAAGGAGGGGAACTATATGTACAAATATTTTTGTTTTTTGATTAGAGACCTTAGTTTTTGTGTTAAATAAAAAACTTATAAGTATCTTCTTTTTAAGCGAGCAATTTAAAAAACATGCTGTTATAAATTATTAGGTTACATTAACTACATTCTTAAACTAATAAAAAAAAACAATTAAGCTAACAAAAAATATTAATATACATTTTTATAATTTGTATTTTAAAGTCGTAGAAATAAATTCATGAATTTTTCATAGTTTTATACAGTTGCTAGGCAAATAAATCTCGAGTTCACAAATCATTGTAGTTTAAAGTAATCAAACATGGTTTTTAAATACATTTGTTAACAAAAATGAGTTTGTTAAAAATAATCACTAAAAAGGCATTCTCCGTCTTGTAATTTTTGAACTAAGGTGCCACCTCATTCCACGTTTCTCACCTGGTCCCTGCTGTCGTCCTCCTGGGCCACCGCCGCCTGGTCCACCACCGCCGCCTCCTTGGTTCCGCATAAACATTGGTCCAACGCCGTTGCCACCGTTTCCAGCCGGACCGCCCATGCGCTGGTTAAAGGACGCCGGTGGCGGGATGCGCATTTGCATCAGGCTCGTGGGCTGATTGAATCGATTGTGATTCATGTTGGGCGGGAAAAAGTCGCCTCCTGGGCCGCCGTTGTGACTGCCACGCGGTCCCATTCCGCGAGGACCACCCGGTCCACCTCGATTATCAAAATCTGAAAAGCAATGGGAGATTTGTTAGCTAAAAATGACAAATTCTTCACAAATCTCCAATTACCCATGAAATCAGGCCTTGGCATTCCGTGGTCAATAGGATTAAGGTTGAGTCGCGCTCGTGCCTCGTTGAAGGCTGCGTTTGGTCCAGGTCCAGCAGGCGGCGGGCCAGCTCCTGGTCCGCCTCCCCCACCGCCATTCTCGGCACGCCAACGATCCGCCGCTTCGGCCACATCATCTCGTCCGCCCCAGCGCGAGCTGCCCGGTCCTCGCGAGCGATCCCTATCCCGATCGCGTTCTCTGTCTCGTTGCTGGAACATCTCGTTGGCCATGGCCGCCGGCGATAGCTCAAGATTGTTGGGTGACGGATTGAAGGCAGCTTGCTGTTGCGGCGGTGGAGGTGGGGCGTCCTCCAGGTCCATCTCAATGTCCATTTGATCGTCGCTCACATTCCCACTATTAGCAGCAGACGGGCCGCCGCCGGGAATGGGCGGTGGCACGGCACCGGGCGGTGGGAACGGTGCTCCCGGTGGCAAGCCCATTGGATGCGGAGGTCCACCAATGCCTGGCAAAAAAGAAGGATCAGTTTTAAGTTAACTTTTAGGAGTTTCAAAGCTACCTGGAAAGCCGGGCGGCATCATGGTCGGTGGCATCATCATCGGCGGAGGCATGTTGGTCGTTGGCATCATCATCGGTGGCGGCATATTCGTTGGCGGCATCATCATGGGCGGCGGCGGCATGTTAATGCCCATTGGTGGGGCCATCGGGAACTGACCCCTTACTAAGCCCATGAGCCCCGGAGGCGGTGCTCCCGGACCGGGAGGAGGACCCACCGGACCGACTGGCCCAACCGGCGGCGGTTGGGTGGTGTCGATGCCAAAGATCATGCCTGGCGGCGGAACACCAACACCTGGCCCGCCAGCTGTCTCCGCGATGGGAGGACCCTTATTGTCCTTGCCGGCATTCTTGGCTTGGTTGATCTTCTGTTTCATTTGGATGGGCATGGTGTCCTCGTCAAACATGCCGCCCTCCTCCAGGGCATCAAAATCCGTCTCCGGACCCAGTTTGGACCAAGGAATGTAGGTGACGCCCAGCTCGAGGTCCCAGAAGTCCTTCCACTCTTTGCTTTTCACACCCTTGCCGGCTGCCCACGAGATGGTGATGGCGCGTCCCTGCAGTTTGTGGTTCTTCAGCGCTTGCATGGCCTTGTGGGCGTCCTGGCGTCGATTCATTACAATGAAGGCGCATCCGCGCGGCACAATCTGATCGATGCTGACTATGTCGCCATACTCGCCAAAAGTATCGGACAGTTCCTCCTGGTAAACCAGTTTGGACAGGTGGCCCACCCAGAGCGTAGTGCTGCACACTAAAAAAAAAAAAAAGCAATGAATAGGTTTTAGTACACGAGTGAGTTGAAAGCCCGATTGTCTTGATGAGGTGTGCGTTTCACTTAAATCATTTGTTGTTTTTATTTTTATAAATTTGTATTTGCGAAGAGTATTAAACCTCTTTGAATCGAATAAGTCCATAAGTTTTGATGGACAATTAAATTTCAATAAACGTGCATGATTAAATCGAATAAGCCACGCTGTTCAAAATTAAGTGATCCCTTGACAATTTTAAGTTTATATACCCTTGCACTTTTAGGAAATATGTTTAAGTCAATACGTTTGATATGTTGCCATTTAAATAAAAAAATGTATCTATAGGTAAGGTCGGACTTTGCTGCATCAACTCGACTGATGTTTCTGATCAAAAATATTTGTTCCAAAATGTGTCTCTCAACGAAAACTATTTAATGCCAAAACAATAAAAACTGCATAGGGGGTTTAAAAAAAATGTTTTGTGTTAATAATCAGCAACTATTTAATGGCATATTTTTTTTGTAGAATTAAGATTTTGGGAACTACAAGTATCAGTCGTTAAAAAATACTTTTGGAGTAATTGGTTTTTATGGGAAATATCTTTCTAGATATCCAATAACAAATATTTGATTTTTATAAAAACTACGAAATATTGAAAAAATTAGTTTAGAATACGAAATATGTATCTTATAGACAGTTATTTAGTCCAGCAAACTTTTTTTTACAAATGTGATCCGAGATAAATTGATTTTGTCCTTTATATTAGGAATTTGTTAAATATATGTATGTAAATCGGGAAAGGTCCCAAAAACATTGCTCGAAAACGCATATTTTTAGATAGAGGGGAGTTTATAAAAAGTTCCAGATAAAAAGATCAAGAACCACTAAAGCTAAACCACACACACACACACGTCAAACAAGCCAAGGAGCTGCAGAGAAAGAAAGAAAACTCTTCTGGATTAGCAGAAAAAAAAAAGATGTAAGAAAAAAACACGCGATAAAAACGGATCTCGGAGAGCCAGACCCACTCACTGAGAACCACTTTAGGATAGGCCATCATAGTTACCACTGAGATGCTCCTTCTTGATGTCCGGCAATCCCTTCTTGCGACGCTCACGCTCGTGCTCGCGATCCCGCTCCTTGTCCCGGTTGCTCCGATCCATACGATCCCGGTCCCGCGATGTCCGACGACGGCTGGAACGTGGGGATCGACTGCGCGATCGAGAGCGCGAGCTGCGTCGCCTTCGGTCGTTGCCAGCGCCTCCTCCTCCAGCACCAGCGGAGCCTCGTCCACGCGGAGATCTCGTGCGGCTGCGACTGCTCCGGCGGCTGCGCTTGTAGCGATCACGGTCGGGCGTCGGACTGCGCGAATCGGCACCATCCAGGTTGATCACCTATTGGAGTCGGGAAGTGTTTGCAAGAAATTTGAGAGAAGTGATACGTGATAAAAACGTTAACATTTTGGTAAGCATATAGATTAATTGGGTCCAGGATGCTGGTGGATAGAGCGGAAACGGGATCGGAGATGGATTAGTGGCTGGCCATAGGGCAAAAACGATATTTTAGACTGAATAAACTGCATTCTTTGGCGTGTGTTGACGTGTGGTTCTGTTACGCTTTAGACATTGGTGATTCTCATAGTTCTTTCGGCCTAATTAGCATTTTTTCATCGTTTTCGAGCAACATTTTGATTTACATATTAGGAACTTACCAAACGTTGTTATAGCATCAGGTAACGGGTTGTTCCGCCGGACATAACGTGGCTTTTAAAACCTTACCTTTGGCCTCTCTTTAATATAATTTTTTTTACCATTTACTCGTTAATTGACTTATTTAAATATTGGCAAATATTTTTTTGTCATTCAAAAATATGTTAGGGACATTCAGATCATTTCAACAAACTGGTTTTGGGATTGCACAAAGGCATCTGTTTTTGACTTAAACGTTTTTTTCACAAGGTATAAAAGTTAATATTTCCGAAATGGGAATAAAATCATCAGAAATGGATTGCATTTTTAAAGGTATATTGTATAAATTTTGTTAAAATAGTTCAAAATCACCCCAATCTTATTTTGTTTTTAAATATTTGGACACGAACACGCCCATACTCCATCGGTTATAACAACATTTTAGACACAATATCCGGTTCAACTGCACGTCAGCACAAGACAAATGGCATCTGATGCGACTCCCGACTACAATCTAATACAGTACTTTGGATGGGCAATGTTTATGCTTTAAACCAACAGTGATAGCTTGGTCTTGGTGAAAAGAATACACAAGGCCCCAGAAACTAAGATAGATAGGAAAAGTAAAGAGGTATACCTCAATGGTCTGCTGCTCCGATATGAACTCGACATCCTTGTTGAGGTCCATGCTGTCGTTTAAATTGATGCCCATGCCCATGCCCATTCCCATGCCTGGGGGCATGCCAGCATTTCCCTGAAAGAACAGCACTATGTCAACAAGGGTAGGCAAGTAAACCAGCGCTTAGTACCTTCATTACGTTCTGGAAATGCTGCTGCAGTGCCTCATCCGGGTAGCGATGCTTCTGATCCTCCTGATGCTTGAACTTTTGAAAGTTCTGCAGCGTCTGCAATTGCCGCAGCACATTGGGATCGTTCAGCAGCTGCTTGAGATTGTTGTTCTGCAAGAGTCGGTCAAGGATTTTTTTTTAGTAACAGGATTGAACTAAGAGATGCTAGCAACAAATGAAAACTAAAGCTAAACGAAACTATCTTAATGTAGGGTTAAAGGGGCTCGCCATACATCTAACAGCTTGGATGAAGTGGGCGGTGAGTCGTCGCCCATGCAGTGGTGGTCATCGGCCATGAGCATCTGCATGCCGTCTTCCTCATCCTCCATGATCTCGCGCACCTGATAGTCGAGGTCGTGTGAACTCTTAACGTACTCCCGCTTGTGATGATGCGACTTGCTGGACTTGGAAGAGCAAGAGGCGCCCGACTGGCGCTTGGAGTAATGCTGCTCCGAGTAGTGACGCTTGGAGCTACTGCTGCCACCGCCGAACTTCTCATGACCCAGCTGGCGAGTGGGCGCGGACGAAAGGTGTGGTTAGTGGGCAAGACATGATAGACAGAGAAATGTAAATGCAGCAGAATAGCAGATGATGTGTTAGTTAGCCAGAGTCCAATGCAAGATTATATATAATCTATTCGAATAGCCTCCTTTACCAGGAGCATTCACTCACCGACAGATCGGGCATGGCGCCGCCCATCTTATCGTCCCCCACCACGCTGCTCATGCTCAAATCCATGCTGGAACTGTTAAGTCCATTGTTCCCGCTCGATATATCCGCCAGGCTGAGGGCTCCGCTGCTGCTGGGACCGGGACCCACACTGCCGCCCTGTCCACCGTTGCCTCCCACCGGCGGCATCTGGTGGTAAATGGGATGGTTCGGGTCGGCCAGGTCGAAGATCGGCTGGATGACCTCCGACTTAAAGACGTTGTTCTTCTGCCACAGGTTCAGCACCCGGATGATGCGGCTCTTGTCCTCGGGCGCGCAGCGAAACAAGTTGGCGAAGGTCTCCGTGAGGTTGCGCTGGAAACGCGGCGCGAACAGGTCCTTGTCCATGCCGTACTGGTGCCGCGACTGGCGCACTATCGAGTCGATCACGTACAGCCCGGGCACCTTGTACTCCGGCTTGCACTTGAGGATGAACTTTTCCACGCTCTGGACGACGTGTTTGTACAGCTTGATGGCGCGCATCGCCGACTTGGTGATGGCGGCCATCTTAGCCTTGGAAATGGGCGGCCGGCTGTCATAGAGTCCGGAGAGCTGGAAGACAGGAGGAGTTAGTTACAGGTACGGGGATTTCCGGGCCGCGGGGCCTCCGTGGGGTTATCGTTATCGGAAAGCAACCCTGAGCGGCGCTGGTCGGGGAAAATTGGGGACTCTACCTGAGCCACAGGAAGATCTACTCTCTTTTTGTACACATATACAAGATGTAAGGGCTCCCCGACTTTAACCGGACATTGTGTAACCACGCCGGCCTTATAACTCACCTCATTGCAAAAGGCTCTATAGCTTACCTCATTGTTGAAGGCAACCACTGTTTCCATGTTCAATTGTTTGGTTCACTCACGGCGCGCACACTCAAACTTTAGTTTTGCATACTTTGGTCCGTCCACACAAGCTTTTAAGACTGGCCAAGCGCTATTTTGTTAACTTTTCTGCGGATTCCACGGCTTTTAAAAAACTTTTTACAAAGCGTGAAAAAAATGGCTGCCCTAGTAGAGGTGGTTTAACATCGATGCCGACATCGATATCATCGATGTTTTTAAAACATCGGTTTCATCGATGTTTGGCAGCACAAAATCGATGTTTTCCATTGTTGCGCCCGAAACACAGTGTTCCAATGCTTTTTATGAAAATATTAAATTAAACTACTAATTAAATTAAATTATTGTATTAAATCTCAAATTAATTCTTCTGGTTTTAAATAAAAAGGTAATATCAAATTAAAATTTCGCACATCTCAAATTAATTTGCGATGGAAAATCAGCAAGCTATCAAAATTCGTAATTCTCAAATATGTCGTCGCGTATAAAATCGACGATTTTTAATTTCGAAGTTTGAATAAAACTGCTCCTGCAACATCGATGTTTTTCAATCTCCAACTGCGTGCAAAAAAGACATGTAAATTTAAAGTATGAAAATATATATAAAATTTAGTGTCTTGGATAGAAGTAAGTAACAAATAAATAAATCAAATATTTTGAACCATCTATAAAAAACCTTTCAGCACAAACAAACAACAAATTACTAAAAACTTAGTAATTTAAAAAATGTATGAACTGAAAATATTTATAAAGATTCTTAATATACCAAAAACTACTTCTATTTTACATGACCAGAAAGGCATTTCCCAACACTTTTCGCCACCACTGCAAAATAAAACCCACCATTTTCAGCACTGCCCGCTGCTGCAACATTTACCAACACTGCAAACTGCATTAAAAATATTAAGTTACAAATTGCAACAAAATGAGCTCCAACCACCGTCCCCTGGACGACTCGGATATCCTGCTGATACAAACCATCCGCGAGACGCCGTCGCTGTACGACCCACAGCTGCCCTCCTTCCGGCTGTCGCAGCGAAAGGAGGAGGACTGGGCCAAAGTGGCGGATGTGCTCAACATATCGACGATGGACGCGCGGCGTCGCTGGACCTGCCTTCGGGATCGCTACTCCCGGGAGCTGAAGCAGAAGCGGCTGCATCCGTCTGGCGAGTTTGGGCACAACGACTTCTTTCGGAAGATGGACTTCCTGCGAGACTTTGTGCGCAAGCGACGGGAGCGAAGAGGACGCGACCGGGATAGGGATCAGAAGCCAGCGGGATGGCTAAAAGTGGACATGCCGCGGCGTCGTATCCGCCTGCCCCTCGATACGGACGCCCTCATCGAGGAGCAGGGCTCGCAGGTGTACGAGGAGGGTGAGGAGCAGCAGCAATACGAAGCCAAGCTGGAGGGGCAGACGACGCAGTCGGAGACGTACTCGGTGCTCGTGGAGGCGGACGATGGCCAGGAGCCGGATCAGGAGAGCTTTGACGAGTTCCTCGGCGAGTCGGAGTGCGATCAGAAGGTTAAGGTCCTAACCATCCATCCGGAAGTTTCCACTCCTAAGGCAATATCTGCTCCGCCTTGTGAAGCAGTAGAGCCCAGCCAGACGGACATAAACTATGTTGTCTGTGTGCCCAACGCGAGCCAGGAGCGAGAGCGTTCCGCTCCAGATTCAGTAGTCAATCCGCCGGCCGTTCTCCCTCCAAACAACTCGGAAACGGAGGACGATTTCTTCTGCAAATCGATCGCCGCCTACCTGCGTCAACTGTCGCGCGTGCACAAGATCAAGGCTAAAGTTGAGATGTATCAGATATTGGAGAAGTACATACTGCTCGAGGAGAGTGGAACGGGGTCGCATGCGAATGGGTCGGGCTAAGCAGGATACGTAGCTACTTATGTACATAGATTTTAACATAGTTTTTTAATGCAGTACAAATATACAAAGTGACAAAAATCTTTTGAGCTTAATCTATCTTATTAGGAAGAGATTGAGTCTTAGCAGAAGTCCTCGTTAATTATATTGGCGTCCACGGCCAGGCCGCGTTCCTTTAGCGCCTTGGACACCAGGCGGTGCTTCTCTTGCCGCTGCTCCTGTTCCCTGCGTTGGGCATCCAGGATTTCGTCAACGGATATCTCTTTTAGCGGCAGCTTTTGCTCCTTCTCGCGATCCTGTTGGGGGTTGTTATGAGGTCATAAATCAGTCATTTCGAAGGATTCATTTAAGCTTACAATTTCGCCCAGCAACACCACATTCTCGCCTCGAATGATGAAGACTCCACGTGGAATGTCGCCGTACTCGTTGCCCACATGTATTCGCTCAATGGTGCGCTGCAGCACCAGGTTGGCGAACTGGTCTACGGATCTCAGGTACCCAATCAGAGTTCGTCCGTCCCTCAAGAGCACCATTAGCTTTTCTGTAAAGTGCCGGATTTGAGACTCCACCATTGGTTTGGTTTGGCCATCTACTCACTGTCCACCTCTTCCAGGAGATGAGCTGTGCCCGCCAGCGGATTTAAATCGTCCATTTGAATATTATTTTACTTATTTATTTAAATAAATACTTTTAGAGTAAAACTTTGTTCTTAACTATAGGAAAGTGTTTATAATTAATGTGACCGCGGTTCTACTGTTTAAAGATACCACAGGCTCGAAATAAAAATACCAAAAATATTTCATACAAATAACACTTGTCGTCACAAAATTAGAATCAAAGGGTAGTTACCTAAAAGAAATTATTATTTTGTAAATAAAATAGTATACAAATTGATATAATACCCAAACCAAATAATTAAGTAAAACATTTAATTTATAAAAAGTAGAATTCCATTCATACTGAAAGTAGACGGTATAGTTATTTCTTCTGGCAAAAATCGTTTTTACTTGTCGACCAGTGTAATTCGTTTGGTATATTTTAGTATATTTTCCACTGGCCTGCGATAAATTTTAGCGGTCTGGCCGACCGGTCACGCTGGTTTTAAAAACAAACAGGAATCGCGTATTTTATCACGAAATTCGCGCAAAATGAAGTAAGTTGCAGGATTAGATCAATTAAGGTGGATTGCTAACAACCCAAACCAACAGGCTCAGCGTGGACGGCCTGCTTGTGTACTTCCCGTACGAGTACATCTACCCGGAGCAATATGCGTACATGCTGGAACTGAAGCGCAGTCTGGACGCCAAGGGCCACTGCCTGCTGGAGATGCCCTCGGGAACGGGCAAGACAGCCACCCTGCTGTCCCTGATCGTGGCCTATATGGTGGAGCATCCGGAGACGGTGCGCAAGCTGATCTATTGCTCCCGCACGGTGCCGGAGATCGAGAAGGTCATCGCCGAACTGCAGAACTTAATGGTCTACTACGAGCGCCAATGCCCCAATCCGCCGCCCTTCACCGGCCTGGTCCTCAGCTCCCGGAAGAACATGTGCATCCATCCGGAGGTCAGCAAGGAGCGCGAGGGCAAGGCGGTGGATGGAAAGTGCTACGGCCTCACCGCCAGCTACATTCGCGACCGCCACGAGATGGACACCGAAACGCCCATCTGTAAGAATCTTCTATACTCATATCCAGGGAGCACCATGAGTTCAATTTGTCAATTTGCAGGCCAGTACTTTGAGGGATTTAGCCTGGAGGGCAAGGAGTCCACGCTGCCGGTGGGCGTGTACAGCATCGATGATCTCAAAGAATACGGACGATCGCGCAACTGGTGTCCCTACTTTTTGGCCCGCTATGCAGTGAGTTTTGTGCGATTTTAAATCTATTCGAAAGTTTTGTAAAAGCTCAACATAATAAGCCCAGGAAAACAGAGAGATCGCTTAATGCAGATATTAGGCAAAGATCGAGTTTAATGTTATTTAATTTACTTTTGCTCTATTTCGTGCTAGATTGCCCACGCTCACATTGTGGTATATAGTTACCACTATCTGCTAGATCCGAAAATCGCTCAGGTGGTGTCTAAGGAGATGAGCCGCGAGTCCTGCGTGGTTTTTGATGAAGCTCACAACATCGACAACGTTTGCATCGATTCGATGAGCGTGAAGATCAACAGACGCACCGTGGAGCGCAGCACAAACGCTTTGAATCAGCTGACAAAACTGGTTCAGGAGTAAGTTGGCCAGATCTTCGCAATAATTTGCACATTTTTAATTTTTGTTTATAACTCACAGCATTCGCGAAGAGGACACTAATCGGCTGAACGAGGAGTACCAGCGCATGGTTCAGGGCTTAAAGGATGCCAGTGTGCAGCGGGACACAGACATGATCCTGGCCAATCCGGTCCTGCCCAAGGATGTGCTCAGTGAGGTGGTGCCCGGAAACATACGGCAGGCGGATCACTTTCTCAGCTTTTTGCGTCGCTTCATTGAATACATAAAGACAAGACTGCGCGTGCATCATGTTGTACAGGAGTCGCCGGCCGGTTTCCTCAAGGATATATCCTCCAAGATATGCATCGAGCGCAAGCCTCTGCGCTTTTGCGCAGAGCGTTTGTCCAGTCTTCTGCGGACACTGGAGATCAGTGACATGACCGAGTACGGAGCTCTGACTCTGGTTGGTTTTCATCTGCCCCATTTGCAAAGCGAGCCTAATATATGATTAATTTTTAGATCACACACTTTGCCACTCTGGTGTCCACCTACACGAAAGGCTTTACCATCATTATAGAGCCGTTCGACGACAAAACACCTACGGTTTCGAATCCCATTTTGCACTTTAGTTGTTTGGATTCCTCTATTGCCATGGCTCCAGTGTTTACCCGATTCCAAACAGTTGTTATTACATCAGGGACATTGTCGCCCATGGACATGTACCCCAAAATACTCGACTTTGATCCCGTAGTCATGAGCAGCTTTACCATGACACTGGCCCGTCCATGTCTTCTTCCTATGGTAACTATTTATTCCATCAACTATACGATTTTGTTTTCATTTTATTGTTCTATTAAATAGATTGTGTCGAAAGGCAACGACCAGGTGACCATTTCCTCGAAGTTTGAGACACGTGAGGACACCGCTGTGATCCGAAACTATGGCCAGCTGCTGGTGGAGGTTGCAAAGACAGTACCCGATGGCATTGTTTGCTTCTTTACCTCTTATTTGTACTTGGAGTCTGTGGTGGCCTCCTGGTATGATCAGGGAATTGTGGACACTTTGCTGCGCTACAAGCTGCTGTTCATCGAAACCCAGGACAATGCCGAGACGAGTTACGCCCTGATGAACTATGTTAAGGTGAGATATATGTTTTCAATCTTACAAAAACCCAACGAGACTGCTATGGCTTCACACCAAATGTGCTTGACATAGCAGCCTCGCGCTCTTTATGATTCACGCCCTTGGAGGTTGGATCATGTTGACTCAGTTAGAAGCCACTTCTGATTTCTGTAGATAGATAATAGTAAACGTAACCAATAGATAAGTGCGTCAAACTACAAGTAAATTATCGTTTATATATCGGCCTAAGTATAATCTTTCTACAAATCCAATAAGTTTATTTAATTAATTATTCGTTTAAAACTATAAACTATTTTACTATTACTATTTACTATTTAAGGATAGTAATGATTTAAGGGATATTCTCGTTGGTCGTCTCCTAGTCAAAGTCGGTTTTACTCCAAGAACAGGCGCAAATATTAGAAATTGATAGCTTGCGGTAGGGAAAGGGTATACACAGAATGCTCCTAAAGTTGACTAACCCCAAACGCTCCCATTTCGACTTGCAGGCCTGCGATTGTGGTCGTGGAGCAGTGCTGCTGGCGGTGGCGCGTGGCAAGGTCTCGGAGGGTGTGGATTTCGACCATCACTATGGTCGCGCGGTGCTCATGTTCGGCATCCCCTACGTGTACACGCAGTCGCGTATACTCAAGGCCCGGCTGGACTACCTGCGGGATCAGTTTCAGATACGTGAGAACGACTTTCTGACCTTCGACGCCATGCGCCATGCGGCCCAGTGCGTGGGACGGGCGCTGCGCGGCAAGACGGACTACGGCATCATGATCTTCGCGGACAAGCGCTTCTCGCGGCACGACAAGCGATCGCGTCTGCCCAAGTGGATCCAGGAGCACTTGGTGGACAGTTTCTGCAACCTGAGCACAGAGGAGGCCGTGCAGCTGGCACGCCGCTGGCTGAGGCGAATGGCGCAGCCGTTCACCCGCGAGGATCAGCTGGGCATCTCGCTGCTGACTCTTGCCCAGCTGGAGAGCATGGAGCAGGAGAAGCTGGAGCGGCAGGCCCAGGGCAAACAGGGCGTTGGCGGCGAGGTGCAGGAGCTGTGAGATGTGAGATGTGGGAGGTGCTCGACCAACCGGCTCTTTGTCCGTCTGCCTTCCGGGAACAACTCAAGTCGCTGTGCCTGCCGTCCAGCTAATGACATTGAATGCCATTAAAAGCGGATCACAGCACAAAAAGTCTGGAAAATTTAAAAGTTAAATTTTTTTTTTTTGGTTGGCTGCCATGCAAATCGGACGTAAATGTCCAATTAATGGCTAATTAATATTATTTATAATTTCGCAGGCATGACTAACTAACCGCTCAAGGCGGCGAAAGGGCGCAAGCGCAGCGCGATTTTGCTCTTTCGGCTGTATTTGTATCTATACCTGTGATTGCATCCGTATTAGTTAAGCTGCAAATTCAAACAAATACGTTGTGAACTGCAATTGTTGCTTTTGCAATCACAAATTGAACTGAAAATGTAAAATAAAATAAACAACAATACAAATAAAGTGCTGTCTCAATTTGAAGAAATTTGTTTGTTCACTTGTAAAGTAAATATTAACACGCTTACCAAAGTTAAAGAAATCCTTTAACATAGAAAATGGTTTTTTAAGATTGATAGCCTATGTCCATTCGGTGGAATTTGTTTAAAGGACTTCCGCCTCATTTAAAAATCAGAACGGATTGCTTTAAAAGTTTTAAATTAATACCCAAACTTATTTTTTTTTGGTAACGTAACACACATTACTTACATTGGAGGTATCTGCCTTTATATTAGTTTGTGTTTTGTCTGTGGAAGTTGTTAATTTTGCAACCGAGTACTTACATTGATATCAAAACAATGTTTGAAGTTTCATTTTGTCTTTAAACTTATTTTTTTTTAAATAACCTAAATCTTCAATCGCAATGCTTTAGAAAAATACTAAACATTAAAGTATCATATGCAAAGTTCCTTTATAATGAATTGTCTTAATTAAAATTTAAATACAATATATTTTAAACATTCCGTAAATAGGTGAAAAAGTTACCTAAACAGTTAAAAATAGAATTACTAGGTCGAGATGGAGGCTCTGGAAAAGAAAGTCAAGAACAAGTTATGCGTTTCAAAACCCTAAATAAACCTGCATTATAGTCGGAATAAATCAAGATGCTTGTGTTCGCCGCAATTGAATTTCAGGGGCTCGCAATCAGGCGCCAAATGAACCGCGATGACCGAACAAATTTCTGGCATGCACAATTTAGCCTGAAAATGAATGTATTGTTGCAAATCGAACGAACGCTATCAGAACGGCTCATAATTGCCAACGACCCATTAACGATGCACTCGCAGTCGGGTTATCAAAGCGAAATTATTGCACCGGGGTCCCCAAAGCCAGGCGGCAACGCTTTCTTAACGGCCCTGTTGTTAATTGTTTTTTCATTTTTTTTTTTTTTTTTTTTTTTTTACGGTTAATGTTTACTCTGCCAGCATGTTTTCAAATAAGCAACCAAAAAATTCTGACACTTTTCGACCGCCAAACAAGTAAATCGAAGAGAAAAAAAAATGCGAAAAAGGTGATTATTTCCTGGAGTCCCCGGACTTCTTTTCAGCCGTAGAGCTTAAACCGGAGCGGAGAGCCAAAAAGCTTTGGCGGCGAATAGAGAGCAATTACAGTTAGCAGAGCGAGATAAAACTGCCGAGCACTCGAGCTCTGCCTCTCGCGGCAGAACTTTCGATTTTTCATAATAAAAAGGTTACAACTAAATCTCGGCCGGTTTAGTCGGCAGATAAATTCGGAGCGAGCGCGCCAAATATAAAACCCCGCAACGCCATCGAACGCTTAAACAACACAAGCCCAATCACACAAGCTTAGAAAATTATTACAATTCCGTGTCCTCGTCGTGTCCATCGCCCCGAAAGTCAGTCAATAACCACAGTCAAAATGAAGCCCCAGACCAGCGAGCAAAATGGCAGCTCCCAAAATGGCGACAGTGCCGCGGACGCCGTTTCCGTCGCCACGATCCCGACGGCGGAAGCCTCCGCCGCCTCCAGCACCGATCTGGCGGTCTCCAAAAGCAGCCAGCAGCTGAAACTGGAAATGCTCAACATGGAGCTGGCCAGCAATGGAAGTGGTGAGTTCTCCGGAACAAGTAGATAGTTCTAGTTCCGTGGTTCGGGATAATTTCCTGATCTGAGTCACAGGGGTAAACAGAAACAAAATGCTATTCGAGAAGATAGATTTCTACCTCATTCATATCGTTTGCGAGTTTAAAAGTCTCCTACAAACGAAATACCAACCAAAACTTTATTAGAATGTACCCATTTGGTGGGGAGTGATTTTTGATATAAAATGGTTTAACAAATCCCTAAACAAATCTCTCTCGATTTTTAATACATTCAAGCATTTTAAGCAGAGTGCTAATAATCTGACCCAACCCAAATTTAAGAAATCTGTAATTAGTTAGTTAGTTTGCATCTTACATTCTAAAATGTTCAGCTTATCATAAAAATAAAAATTCCCAATTAAGAGGTTCCATAGTGTGATTTTAATTTAAAACCTTATCGTCTGTTGACTCTAAAAAAGCACCCAAACATTATTAATATTCTAGACTACATGTTCAAATAGTAATTTCTTTTCAAAGAAAGTGAGTCATTAACTTAGGGGAATAATTATTATCGCTTATTGGATTTTTCTAAAGGGGTTTATCCAAAGTTGTGCTTGGAATTCAAAAAGACTAAGGAATACATGCAATATTTACACAACACATTGATTTGTTTATTTGAATAGTTTTCGATTGTTGTCCTTTAACTCTTCAGAAGTCTTAAAAATACTACGAAGTTACCATGGGAAGATACCTATTCCTAGACGTGATCTTGATCTAGTTTCCGTGTGTAGTACAACACCACCCGAAGTGGCTAATGGCGCCGAGATGTAATCTTGGCCAGACATTGCATCACACATAGATTAGTGAGCAGAATTGAAATTCAATCAGATGCGCATAATGATACGACTCCGATTTCCGGCGATGCTGGGCCGCATAAATTCGAGAACATAAACCGTAGAGAGAGAACTCGGATTTCTGGCCCATATATGTACAAACCACACTCAGTGCCGGATATCAAGAGGAACTTAAATGTACATACTGAAACTGGCCTGGACTGGACTGTGCCTATTGACATTGACATTGAAAGATTTGCTTGGCGCTTGGCGCTTTGCACTTGCCACTTGGCACTTGGCAGATTCAACGAGAGCGGTGCCAACTGTGGGCCATGAGCCAAAGACAAACCCAAAGACAAAGACAAAGACATAAACCCCTCGGCTTGTGATCCGGTATTTGGCCAAAGGAAGGGTAAGGGTGGTTGGCTGAGGGGAGGGTACACAGAGACCTGAACTACTTTTGTGAAGGTTAAAAAAGTGTTTAATTGCGAGTACGGCGCTCCAAACGGTTTCGATTCGTGGGCTTTGGCCATTTGGCCGTTCGGCCGTTTGCCGTTTTCAGTTTCTTCGATTGCCCCTCAGATATCGGGCTTGTGTCTGCGTCGGTGACTAATAAGCCCGAGCAGCAGTGAGCAGTACTTCACATTTGAGCGATTGCGGTCAATAAAAAGCCTGACTCTGACTGACTGGCTGGCTGACTGAGAGCCGAGCCTCACGGGTGTTTCGCCGCTAATTGAGGCACTTAAAAAATTCTCCAAGAAAATGCCAGGCGGTGGCAACCCTGCCAACTCGGAATCCCCGGTTCCCCAGTCGCGCCAAGGCATTCCTGATTCCGTAATGCGTAATTGTCGGCTACATGTTGCGAGGCCTGAGAGCCGGAGAGAACACCTGCCCTGTGGAAAATGTTAATGGTGGCTAAATTGCATTGCACTCCAAACAGGTCGACAACTGAGGAAGCGACTATCTCAAACTAACAAGGCCTAGGAAAGCTTGATCATACAAATTGTAATCAAATATTGAAAAAAACTCAGTCCTCCTGTCTTACCTCTGTTTTTTTTCATATCGAAGGGATGTTACCCTTAATGAGGTTCTACTGTGCCAGACTACGTTAGAACGATCAATGACAATGTCATCTGCAGCTGTCTTTACTATATGTTACCTAACTCAGCATGTGCTATTTTCAACTGATTTATTCTATCTCAAAGAGCGGTGGGAGGTTTTAATCTATTTCTGTCGGTAAAATAACTAAAACCGATATGGGTTAATTTAAAAAATTGCCTAGACTTCTTTAATTTGTATTTAATAATTTTTAATTTATTTTTACACTTATCTTGCAAATTAAGTGAAAAGGGTTTATTATACAAATTGTCTTACTTAAATGTGGATTTCAATATTTATCTTACTCAACGGTTTTCATTGACATTGCAAGCAAAAAGTTAATTGACAAATTGTCTAGACTTCTTTAAGTGTTATCTTGCTTCGGAAATTTTAATTTATTTTTCCTTTCTCAATGTTTAAAAAAAGGCTATTAAACTAACTTTTCTTAATGAGGATTTGGCACACTGAAATCAGATTACCATTCTTATACAGATTACCATTCTTATACCATTCTTATTACATAACGTTGTATTTCAGGGTGAATTTGTCGATATCCTAAAGACAAACTTAATATGATTGTACAAAAGAAATATTATTATTCCTAACCTTCAACTCCGTACCCAAAACAGATTCTCTGTCTGCTTGGCCCATGAAAAGTTAGAGACCCCCAAAAAATTAGCATGTTCAGCTCTTTGAATCCAAGGGAGAAATTGATGAGATGCGGAATTTATGCAGGGAATAAGCATATCTAGACAGCTGGGGGGTGCAGACACTTTCAATGGAAGCCCAACAAGTTAGATGCTGCAGGGTTTCCCCAGTAAAATTAGGACGATTGTGGACGGGGTAAATGTTTTATTGAATTATGTGTTCCAAACTGGTATCCATATCCATGCTCGCTGCCTTTTCGTGGATGGTCGCTCACATAATGGTCTCCTCCTCCAGCATGTACTCGGTGAGATCGGCTTCGCCAGTCAGCGTGGTCACCGGCACTCGGTTCATCTGGGCAACCCGCTGACTGGGCCACACCATCACGTCACAACAGTTGGTCAGCACCACAACGTTGGTGCTCGGAGTGGTGGTGCACATCAGGTGGGCCGGCTTCTCCTGGTCGCAGCGGTTAAATTTGCGCCGGAAGCGGAACTTCACGGGCAACGAGTTGCCCATCACGCTCTCCTCGTCAAAGTACGGCGGCAGGGCTCTGTTGTACACCGGATTCGTAGTGGCCGGCTTCGTGAGCTATGGTCGGGAATAGATGGCAAAAAGTATATAATAAGTTTAAATTCAGCTTAGTAGACTTAGATCTTGAGATGCCAAAAGATATCATAAATTGAAAAGTTAATAATTTAATAATATACTTGATGGCCAAAACTTGCACTTTTCTTAGATCTTATTCCCATCTTCAAAATCTTTGGGTGACCATCAATTTAAACAATCAATTATGTCATAGTGCATTGTGGTTTATTATAAAAACTAAATCTAAATAAATTAATAATAATTAATTAATATTAGTTTATCTTATTGGATTTAATTCCATTTAACCTATCAAAAATTTTAAATTGGAATGTTTGAGCAAGGGGTAATATAGAAGAGGTCACTCACCTCTTCCAGCACCACAGAGGTCTTGAGTCGACGGCAGGGATCACAATAATCCGACGCAAGTGTGTTTTCTGGTGTTTGGCTCGCACAGGGATCCGGTCGAGGCTCAGGTGCTTTGGAGTCTAGCCCGCCGCCACGCGTCACGATGTCGTTTCCGCTCTTCCTGTTTGGATTCATCGGATCCTCGCCCCGCAACACGCACTCCTGCAGGAACTCCTCCTCGATGTCGATCAACCTCTTGACGGCACAGTCGCGTTTCAGAAAGTTCTTAATTACCGACAGATCGCGCGGCACTGCGCCGATTACGTCGAAGTCATCGCTCCGGAGTTGCAGGCGGTGCGCCATGCTTTTGGTCTTTTGCAGCGGACGGAGAGGCGGATGGATGGAGGCTGGTTTAAATTTTGGATTTTATCTGGGCTCGAAGCCTCACTGCTTCACTTGAAAATGTAACTTAACTACCCCTTGACGTATGTCACCAAGTCGAGTAGTTTGGGCGAGTCTGAAGAATAAGTCAAACAATCCGTGAGGACAAAGGAGGAAACCTTGAACACTTAGTGTTGGCGCCAGGCTGTGCACACTTAAGGTCAACAAAAGAGCGTTTAATTATTTGGACCATTTAATCGTGTCCAAAAGTGCCCAAAGTCAGCAATCATTTAGGGGAAATCTAACAGAAAACGTAAAAACTAAATTTCGTTAAAATTGTTATTGATAAAGATATAATATTGGTTACAATTTGTATTTATTGATTTTTTTTTAAAGAGATTTGTATTAAATTATTGTATTTATTAAATTAACAGAAATGCCAGTGCATTTACCCAATCCTTTCACATTTATCTATTTCAAAACGTCAAGTGCTATTTCTTTGTCCGTTGCTGTAGCTTTGGCGCCTCCTTGCAGAGCAACAAGTCCGAGTGCAGTTTGAGAGTCACTGGACTATGCACATCAAACTGTGGACCTGCGCTCAGCTCGATTTATTTCCGCTCACCTAATCTCCGCTAAGCGCCAGTCGGAGCAGAGCTTGCGGTCGGGTGGTTGGGGTTTTGGTGGTTTAGATTGAGCTTTTCGCCGCTCAAAGCTCCGGTCGAGAGGTTCTTATTGCCACTGCTGGCCACAGCAGCCAGCAGAAGAGCAGAGCCACCCGAAGTGCCAACACACGACACAAAGTCCAGCTAATAACAAAAACGAGACGAGACAGCAGCGAGAAAAATATATAGAAAACAACTTCGAAGATTGTGTGTGCGAGCCAGCCGTCAAATTGAGTTCCGTTCGAGTGGCAAACAAACCTGAGTAGCCGTACCGCCATGAGCTTCACCCGCCAACTGTCCGAGATGAGTGCCAGCGAGCTGAACGACGCCATTGACGACACCAACTTCCCGCAGGCCCACATCCTGTCGCGCGGCCGCAACAACAGCGTGTGCTCAACAAGTAGCACCTCGGGCACCTCGTCGCTGGCCGACAGGGCGCAAACATCCCAGCCGGAGGAGACCCATCCTGGAACGCCCGCGGAGGATATTGTGGCTCCAGTTGTTGCCGTGGCCGGAAACCAGAGACCCCGCCTCATCCTGAAAACCAACGGCAGCACTCCGGAAAGCGATGGTACACAACCGAAAACACCAATGACACCGCGTACATCGACAACGCCAGGTAGTGGTGGGGTCAGGCCAAGTCCAGGGAACCAGGGAACCAGAGATTCTACGCTCCGAAAGCCATGCAGAACCGATTAATCTGAAAGCTAGGATGGTATACAAACTCTTTTTTGAACATGAAACAGCCTCCTATCAGTGGATTGGGGTTTGGGTTCGGGTTCACAGGTCATAGATGCGCCTCGGAATGGGGGATAGTACATAGACAGCCACACACAGCCGCCAAAGGGGGCAATGCCTCCCTATCTCCCATGATAACGATTTTCATCTTGTTCACATTGGCATTTCCATTTCTTTTACAGGCCACGAGAAGTGCACGTTCCACCACGACCTGGAGCTGGACCATAAGCCGCCGACGCGAGAGGCCCTGCTGCCGGACATGGCTCGCTCGTACCGCCTGCTGTTGGGCGGACTGGGCGAGAATCCCGATCGCCAGGGACTCATCAAGACCCCGGAGCGGGCGGCCAAGGCCATGCTGTACTTCACGAAGGGCTACGACCAGAGTCTCGAGGGTAAGCACATCTCATTTGGGGCAATTAGCACCAGGTCAGTGATCGGCGTTGCTCATCCTGGGTTTCCCATTGCGAGCGAAAACTAGTTTATCGTGAATGATTCACGCAGTACTCCACTTTTATCGGGGGTTCCTCAGTCCGCTACAGTGCATTAGTGCAATTACCATGAATAAGTGAGTGGATAGATAAAATACAGTTACAAAAGAAGATCCATTAGAGAATTTCGGGAACCTCCTATCAAATCTAAAGCATAATGAAGTGATTTAAAAACACGTGAAATATTAATGAAAAAAAAGATATGTATCTAGATTATATAACAATGTTTGGAACTATCCAACGGCATTGGTGAAATCTTTTCGCATCGCCTGTTGCAGACACAATAGCCTGCATTTGGCCTGCATTTTATCTTCATGTTTACAACTGCAATCGCATTTGAACTTGTCATGTAATCAATGCGAGTCGTTTGAAAAAAAAACCAAATGGAATTGCGAATAATACGGCTACCAGCGAACCAAACCGGTTGTCCGAGATAAAAATCAGGTTCTACAGTTTGTCAAATAAAATCGCATGTAAATTTAAGATCAACAACAAACAACGCAAGTGTGCTGACCATTTGAAAGCTAAATGAGTTAAACGAAAGTGAATAGCCTTCGGCAATAGAATGGGTTGGCTTGTGTTTAACCCGAATTCGAAGAAGGCAAGAGGCGCGGATTCAACGTGACTTGCCAAACTGACATTGAGGGAGCCGGAGACCCCAGACGTTGGTTGTGGGTTTCGTTGGTTGGTCAGGAAACGCACTGAAGCTTTCCGGTCTGTATATTAAGAGCGGGAAAGTGGGTGTGCGGCTTTGTTCCGAGCAACTAGTCAGGGAATCTCAAGAGCACATCGTTTAAGGCGAAAGCTCACACTCCAAAAGAACCATAACCACCAAGTCACCCCCCAACGACCACTTTAACACTCACACTCGCTTGAACTTAACATTCAGTTATGCAGCAAATAAATCTAACACGAATTACGCGCGCTATAAATCACAAGTGGGAACGGCATTTGAGTGGCTTCGTGTTTGTGGGACTTTGGGCGGTCGTTTCAACAACGACTCCGTGGCGCAACGGTAGCGCGTCCGACTCCAGATCGGAAGGTTGCGTGTTCAAATCACGTCGGGGTCAACGTTGGAATATCTTTTTTTTCTTTTACCATTTCTCTTTTTATCTTTCGGCAGACGTTCTAAATGGCGCCGTGTTCGACGAGGATCATGACGAAATGGTGGTGGTCAAGGACATCGAGATGTTTTCCATGTGTGAGCACCATCTGGTTCCGTTCTACGGCAAAGTATCTATCGGTTACTTGCCGTGCAACAAGATTCTCGGCCTCAGCAAACTGGCACGGTAAGATACGCCCTAAGCAATATCTGGAAACATATTTTATTTAATTACATTTTTTCTTTCAGCATTGTGGAAATCTTTTCGCGTCGACTGCAAGTCCAGGAGCGCTTGACGAAGCAGATCGCAGTGGCTGTAACTCAGGCAGTTCAACCTGCGGGTGTAGCTGTTGTAGTAGAGGGAGTGTAAGTATTTAAAATTACATTTATTTCAATCAAGAAAGATATTTTTAGTCTACAAGATACCTGGTACTTAAGACCTAGTTACGGAATGGTTACTTGCCCCTTAAAGGCTTTGATTCTTTTTGAAGTCTACAATATATCATTTTACTTCTGAAGCACTGGGTGTATAATAGTTGTTAAACAAGTGTACTTTGTACTTTTTCTGATAACGCATTTCAAATGTTCCCTTTTCCAGGCACATGTGCATGGTGATGCGGGGCGTGCAGAAAATCAACAGCAAAACTGTTACCTCAACTATGCTGGGCGTGTTCCGAGACGATCCCAAGACCCGTGAGGAATTCCTGAACTTAGTCAATAGCAAATAGAGTGGACACTAAGGACGATATCGAAATCCGAGACCAACTAATCCATTACAATATTTTTGGAAGCGCTTATATACAAAGAAACAAAAAATGAAACGAAACACAGGGTCCATTAGTTTATGTTTTTAGGATTGATTTCATTTAGTTAGTGCAATGATTGCTTTGTTGATTTGTGTAAAAATTGTTGGAAATTCTGTTAGATACATACATTTACCTAGAAGAGAGTAAAGAGCGGCGAGCTTCGAAGAGGTTGAGAATTGATTTCCGGTGTTGGGTAGTTTTATGTTCAATTTTATATGCAGTTTTATGGCACTTGAACGATAATTTTTACAATTTATACATACGAGTAATGCATTGTGCAATAAGGGAAAAACTGATAATAAATCAACGCAAATTGTTTAGGGAATTTACAATTTAAACAGAGTTCATAAAAAGTAATCAAATCTGTAGTTATGTATGTATGTTATCCTATATAACAAGTTATATTCAAATTGTTCTGTATAAGGAACGTAAACGTATTGGACGATTTTAAATGTTAAAATTTAATGCTCATTGTGTATCATAAATGATGTTGCTTGTAGTAAATCGAAGCTGCTTATTAATTATACAATAAATTATGTATTTAAACACTGTTGAAAAAATGTCTTTTCTTGCAAAACGTAGTAAAAGAAAAAAAAACTGTACTGCCTTGACCCCGACGTGATTTGAACACGCAACCTTCCGATCTGGAGTCGGACGCGCTACCGTTGCGCCACGGAGTCCACTTGGGGGGAGGCTTCCAAGTGACAGGAATGCCCCAACATCAACAGGTTGTTGATTCCCGTCGTGCCGCATTCATACCAGCACCAGTTTGAGTACTGCCAAGAGCATCGGTGGTTCAGTGGTAGAATGCTCGCCTGCCACGCGGGCGGCCCGGGTTCGATTCCCGGCCGATGCATAATTTTTTTTCTGAACTAGCTTACTTATTTTTTGGTGTTATGCACCCTGCTTAGTTTTTTACTTGTTTCCAAATTTGTCGTTGTTTCCCAAAATACTACCTTTATCAATCTAAAACACATATGTTGTATATCCTGAAAATTTAAAGAAGATCGGTGGACCGAGCTTTTCAAAGTACACTCTGCTTCCAAACCAGTAGTGTCGGGTTTTAATTTTACTTTTGTTTATACTTTTAAGCAAAACTCTGCGTTTTCATCTTCTAATTATACACCGGTGTGAACGGGCCCATACTGAGGGATTTTTTGGTTAGTGAAGTGACTTTGATACGGTCACACTGGTCGTCGTTTCGTTGTCTTGTGGAAAAGTTGGGTGGCAGAGTGATACTTTTCGATTTAATTTATTTCGCGTTGATTAATTGCTTTTTCCGAACTGACACAACCATTACGAATCACAGTTAACACGGGTGGCACATGCCGAGCAGGCCCCCAAGAAATTCAAAAGACTGAAAGCTCCAAATAGAAATAAAATCGCTGCACCTGCACAGACGTGGAACGGAGGTGTCTGTGTGCATCGCGATTTCTAATCACTCGCAAGACTTTCTTCCACTAAAAGTGACCAGAAAAGAGTCCATAGCCCAGCCATTTAGAAGTGTGCCACATTTTACCCCCCGAAGACGCCGTCCAATTCCGTAAGCCAGGCAGCAAATAGAATTAAATAACAGGGACAAGAAAGAGAGAGATAGTGAGAGAAGTGGGCACCTGGCGAGGGGCAGGGCATTTTTTCAGAGATTCGCTTTTATTCTGGACAACGACGACGACAAGACGTGAGTAGCTTTGGCATTTTTTAATTACTTTGCGATTAAACAAAAAAGCAAACATTCGCACTCACACACGTAAAGGTGCATTCCAAGCAAGTGTATGCATATCCAGTTAGAATCCAGGGCTGTCTACTTTTTGCCGGCCCAAAATAACGGTTCCTGCCAGTGTGTGTGTGTGTTTCGTCCCTGGAATTTCAAGGCTGCAGTTTCCAATTGTTACAAGGCATCTTAAACATAATTATCTTTGTTTCTAGCGAATAACAACACCCAAACATGAATGGACAACCGCCGAATGCGGGTCCTTCGAATGTGGACCTATACATCACCCACCTGGATCACGTGGGCCCGTACCTGAAGGTCTACGGCCAGGTAAACAGAGACGCCGCCTTCCTGGTCAGCAAGCGCATCGAGCAGGTGCTGCCCACATGCTTTGCCATCGAGCCCAGTTGGTCAGTGGAGCGCCAGCAGGCTCTTCTCACACCCGGCACATTTTGCGTCTTCAAGCGGACGAATGGCCCGGCTCCCGGCGATGTGGAGTACATGAGGACACGTGTGGTCAGCGCAGAGCTTGAGGGTCAGATGATGCGCACCGAGATCGAGTTCCTGGACTTTGGCTACAAGCGCACTGTGAACAGTCATGATGTGAGTGTTGATACACCATCTCTCCAGATTTCAATATTTAGCCCTCTTATCCCTTTCAGTTAATGTTCCCCAAGCAGCCCAAGCTGCTGCAGAACATTCCCCTGCTCTGCTCCCAGTACATTGTGCTGGGCATCTGCTCTGATTGGGAGGCTGATCTGCCGGTGGTTCACCAGCTAATCGTCAACCAGACTGTACAAATCGCCATCGATCCAACACAGATCTGTGGCCAAAAGTTCGCCAGCCTGCGATGGAAAGACTTTGAGCTCAACGAGTTTCTGGTGCAACAGAGGCAAATTGGTGCCCCGGTGGCCCCACAACTCATGAAGGATCACTGCAAGAAGCTGTGGAAGGATGCTCCGCAGTCGCCCGTCATCGAGCACAACAATAATAGCATACACAATGCAAAGACGCCCACGGACATTGCCCGTGAGCAGCTGGCGGTGCGTCGATCCCTGTCCGCTCGCCTGGACGCACAGCGTTCGATCCAGGTGACGCCACCAAGGCCGCTGAATGTCGACGCACCAGACTATTCGCCCAAACAGCTGCCTCTGTCCAATGTGGTATGTGACACTTGAGTTTCTACAGAAGTCATGTTTATATAAGCATTCCATTTTACAGACAAATGTACAGGTGCCAATGCAAGGCCTGGCCAATACTCAGAAGCCGGCGTTTGTGCCGGCCAATCCTTTTAACCGTGCCAACTATCAGGCCGTTGAACCGGCTGCTCAACCTCTTGTGCCGAAGGCGGCTTCCCGATCGCTTTACACTTACTATAATGTTCGCATGAACAAACCGATGACCGCCATGCCGCTGGTCGCTCCAAATGTGCCCTTGCAGTCCTATAATCAGTCGGTGAACTACGTGCCACTTAGTTATGCCCCGGCACGCTTCACCCCGCCGCCAACGCCTTCGCTGGCGCAGCGGGCACAGCAACGAACCATTCCGGCCTTCAGAACCACAAGCTTAACGGTGGGTCACAAATACGACGTGGATATAAGCTATGTGGAGAACGGTCCTTACTTGTTCTGGGTGCATCTAAAGAGCAGCGGCAATGATCTGAGCGCCATGATGGGTCAGATTGAGCGGACAAATCTAAAGCCCCTCACCCAGGCTCCAGAACTCGGAACCGCTTGTGTGGCCCGCTTCTCAGAAGATGGCCACTTGTATCGCGCTCTGGTTAGCGCTATCTACGCCCAACGTTACCGCGTCGTCTATGTCGACTACGGTAACTCGGAGCTGCTGTCGACCAGCGACCTCTTTCAAATACCACCAGAGCTGCTGGAAATAAAGCCATTCGCCTTTCGCTTCGCCTTGGCCGGAACCAAGGAGATCGAGCCCATTGACGAGAGCATGAAACGGATTTTCAAGAAATCGGCCATATATATGAACTTCGAATTGACTGTGCAGCCGCCGGAGAGCGTGGGCTCCATGCAGACCTGCCACCTCAACCAGAACGTAAGTTCAAACATAATTAACCGCCAAAAAAATAACCTCTATTGCAATGTACAAATCTGACGATTGATATTTCCATTTAGGGCACCAATATGCTGGAGCTACTTAGGCAGCTGAAGAACTCACGTCAATCTTACGCCAAGGCAGAGCAACTGCAAAACGACGACGCCGTAGAGATTCGCTTTATTGATTCGCCCAGCAATTTCTATGTGCAGAAAGTGTCCAACATCGGAAAGTTCGAGCAGCTGATGGACGAGATGTTTTCGTACTACAATGCGAACCAGAAAGTACCCGATCAGTTAATCCTGGGCGCACCCTGCATTGTCAAATGTGATCAGGAATGGTATCGTGCTGAGATCCTGCGCGTTGATGATTCTGTAATTGTAAGGCACGTGGATTTTGGCTACGAACAAAATGTAAAGCGCCATCTTATTGGACACATTGCCGAGAAGCATTTGGAGATGCCGCGCCAGGCAATCAAGTGCTGTCTGAAGGGCTTCGAGAACAGCGAACTGAGTCAGGACAAGATCACTGACCAGTTTGAGATGCTGGCTGAGGAGTCCAACATCCGTCGTCGTACATTCAGTGTGCGTATCTTTCGCATCGAACCCGATGGTCTGAATGTGGTTAATTTGCTGGCCAAGAACCTGAATGTGATGAAGAAACTCTACAAACTTTCCATGCCCTTCGAGCAGTATCTATCGCTCGAAAAGGGTCAGTTCAATGCCAACAACACGCGTGCGGAGTCGGTGGTCTCTTCTGAGCTGGACAAAAGCCTAATTCTTAACTCTACCAGCATTGTGGAGAGTGAGGATCGCCTGCAGTTACACGAGAAGCAGCAGCAGCAGTCACAACAAAAGGAGCAGCCGCAGCAGCAACAGCAACAGACTGTTGAATCTCATCCGCCAATGAAAACGGGGGGAAGCAAAAACTCTGGAGACTGGGACAAGCGCAGCTCCACCTCGGCGGGTTCAAAGGACAGCAAGCGTCAGCAGCAGCAGCAGCAGCACAGTCAGCGACTCGATCGCCATTTGGACTCGAGCTTTGAGACCCAGAGTACCAGCAGCTACACCAGTGGCATGAGTTCACCCCGCAAGGGCAACCGACAGCAGAATGGCCGTACGCCGATTCAGTCACCACGGCACAATGGAAAACAGGAAGCGAATAAAAATACGTGAGTCTCATTTGCATTGAGTACGAAAAGTACTTTCAGATACAGCACCTTTTTAATAAAACTCTATTCCTTTTTCTAGACGCTTTAATAACAACGAATCACCACGCAAGAATCCAGATGGGCAGCAGAAGAACCAACGCTCCCAGAATGCACCGCAGGGCTTTGCCCAGAAACCGCAGCGCCAAAAGTCCACGCTAGACGGTACAGCCAGCTCAAAGCGCTCCAGCGGAGTTGAGAGTGATGCGACCTCATCCACCACCGAATCGGTGGCAGCCACTAAGCCTGAGAAGTATGTCCCCCTAGACAAGCCCTACGTGGTGCAGGAGATGAAGACACCTGGGAAGGAGGCGGCTAGTCTGTCTTGGTGGGTTTCGCCTTTTCAATTCTACGTGGTGCCAAAGTCGGCCGCTGCCAAGTACGATACCGTCCTGCGCGATATGCGACAATTCTACCGTCAGAAGCAGCATCAGCCACTTCAATTGAAGGTTGGTTCCACTGTGGTGGTGCGCCAGCGAAAGGACAACGCCATTCTGCGAGCTACAGTAATCGCCTGCAACCACATGATGCGCAAGTATCGAGTTTTTTGCGTGGACACGGGCAGCCTAATTACCGTCACATCA